CTTATATAGTCAAATTTTAGCATTATTATATAAACTATTTTTTATAAAATTCTTTTTTATTTATTGCATCGATTATACAATCAAGATAGATTAATTACATAATTAAATTTTATAAAATAATTAACTTAATAAGTTTTTCTTTTTATATTGATTTTTATACATGCAAAGTAAATGTATATTTCTGCATTAATAATTAAAATATTATTATAATAATATGAATTTAGACATGTTGATAACATTGATAAGAAGTTTTATGTGTAACTAAATATAAGATCTGTATTTTATAATAATTTTATGATTTTGAAGGGGTTATTGTCTTATTTTATGACGCTAGTTCTTAAAGTGTCATGTTTTCAGTACATGTCTGATTTTTGGCCAATTTTTCTTCTTGGATGTCTGTATAAAATATTATCGAAGGTGTTGGTGAATTGATTACGTGTTGTGCTCCCTTCGATTATTTCGCACCGTCAGTCAGCTTTTGTTCCAGGTCGTAGCATGCTTGATAGTTTTTTTGTTGCAAAAATGACTATTGATTTTGCGAAACGTTATAAGAAGAGTATCTTTGTGCTTAAAATTGACTATGAGAAGGCATATGACTCGATAGAATGAAACTATTTGTTATATATGTTGCGTGGTTTTGGTTTCGATGAGAGGTGGGTTAAATGGATGGAGGAGTGTGTTTGTCGAGGTAGCTTGTCAGCGCTGGTGAATGGTAGTCCTACCTCGGAGGTTAGTATTGGGAGGGGCTTGAACAAGGGGACCCGCTGACCCCATTTTTATTCTTAATTGCAGCTGAGAAACTGTGGTTGATGATGGATAAGGCGCTGGAGGGGGAATTGTTTACTGGTTTGCAGGTTGGGATGGGGCCTGTGGTGTCTCTCCTGTAGTTTGCAGATGATACTTTGATTATTGGGGAAACTTCTGCATGTAACTTGTTAAGGCGTTATTAAGAGAGTTTGAACTTATATAATGCATGTATATTAATTTTCATAAAATTTGTATGGTGGGAGTGAATATTGACAATGACTTTGTGGAACTTGCAACAAATTTTCTTCATTATCGTAGGAACCAACTGCCGGTTAAATATTTGGGGCTTCCCCTTGGAGCAAACTCTAGATTGCGGGCTACCTGACAACCTGTGTTGGATAGTATGTGACGTCGACTTTCATCTTGGAAGTACAGATATGTTTCAATTAGTGGTCGTGTCACTCTTATTAACGCGGTGCTAAATTTTATTCCTATCCACTTCCTCTCCTTTTTCAAAGTCCCTAATTCTGTGGTGAAGGATATTATCACTATTCAAAGGAATTTTTTGTGGAATGGGGTTAAGGATCTATCTAAGATCCCTTGGGTCCAGTGGGAGTTGGTGTGTCGACCGAAGGGAGCGGGTGAGCTTGGAATTAAGGATGTGAAGTTATTTAATTACGCTTTACTTGGTAAATGGATCTGGCGTTGCTTATCATATCTGGGGGCTCTTTGGGCGCAGGTTCTTCAGGCGCCGTATGGCCTGACCCCGTCATGGTTGAGTGTGTGTTTGGTAGATCGACGTGCTTCTAGTTGGTGGCGGGATCTTGTGTCTACTTTACAGTTAGGAGAACAATGAGTTGATGAAAAGATATTACGAGCTGTGGGGGATGGTACTTCGACGAGATTTTGGGAGGATAGGTGGCTAAGTGGATTTAGGCTAAATGAGGTTTTTCCCATATTATATTCCTTTGCTCTCGATCCCTCTTTGGTTGAAACACATAATGGTCATTGGTCTGGAGATAATTAGGTTTAGGGCATTCCTTGGCGCCACCTTCCCTTCTCATTTGAGTTGTCATTGGTAGCGAGTTTGATGGAAATTCTGGATAAATTTGTGTTGCGTCCTCACCTAGAGGATCACTGGTGTTGGTTGGTTGATAGTTCAGGGTTATATTCGGTTAAGTCTGGTTATTGTTGGTTGTTGACTCTTTTGGTTAATATTCCAACTCTTGATGTTAATCTTCAGGAGGTGTTGTGCAGACTGTGGAAAGGTAAAGTACCTATCAAATGCTTGGTATTTTCTTGACAACTTTTCTTGAATTATGTTCCCTGTAGGTTGCTTTTGCAGGGGCGTGGTGTGGAGTTGGATTCTGTTCTGTGTCCTATGTATGACTTATTTGTTGAAGATCCGGTGCATCTTTTTGTTTTTTGTCCGCTGACATATAGTACGTGGATGAATGTTTTTTGCTGGCTTAGTGTTAATTTTGTTATGTCTTCTTCTTTGGTGTCCTTTTTTCTTGTTTGGTGTGGTTAAGGAAGGAGTAAAAAGCGATCCCAGTACTTTGTTATTATTTGGGTTGCAGTCATCTGGTCCATTTGGTTGCATCATAATTGTGTGGTATTTAAACAAGGCATTGTGGATCGGTTGGAGTTGCTTGACTCTATTCGTCTATATTCTTGGAAGTGAATCTCTTCAGCTGGTATGAGAATGTCTTTTAGCCTTGTAGATTGGTACAATAATCCTTGGATCTATTTTGTTTAATGTGATTTTTATGTATTTTGTGTTTTTTAATAACTTTTCTCTATTTTATATTATACTCTATTTTTTGAATCTGAGTAAGAAGTACCCTCATATGTAATACGTAAGCATTTAAATATGGTCAAACCTAAACCAGTGTCTCTAATAGTTTAAGAACCAAGTTATTCCATAAAGATCATATTCATTTTGATCAATACTTAATCTTAATCATACTATTCACGTGTTCAATTATAGAATATTTTATGAAAATATGACTATACTTAAGTATAGCTAGGTTGGTTTCTATAAAATATGTTTTAAATAAAGTACAAAGTTTAATAACATATAAAAAAAAGAAATTGCAACCAATGTTACTACATTATGAGTATGCCTAAAATTAAAAACGAAATACACGTCAATTGGACAAGGATAAAACAATTGAATAATTTATTTGGTTTTTAAAAACATTTTTAAAATATAAATATTTATAAAGGACAGTTATATTTTGTACAAGTTGAAACATTTTAAAATATTTGTAATGGATAGTGTATTTTGTAGGAGTGATTTTTTTTAAAAAAATTATGAAAGATTATTTTCATGTATTTATTAAATAATACGTCTATATTCTTAGAAGTGAATCTCTTCAACTTGGTATGAGAATGTCTTTTAGCCTTGTAGATTGGTACAATAATCCTTGGATCTATTTTGTTTAATGTGATTTTTATGTATTTTGTGTTTTTTAATAACTTTTCTCTGTTTTATATTATACTCTATTTTTTGAATATGAGTAAGAAGTACCCTCATATGTAATACGTAAGCATTTAAATATGGTCAAACCTAAACCAAGTGTCTCTAATAGTTTAAGAACCAAGTTATTCCATAAAGATCAGATTCATTTTGATCAATACTTAATCTTAATCATACTATTCACGTGTTCAATTATAGAATATGTTTTATGAAAATATGACTATACTTAAGTATAGCTAGGTTGGTTTCTATAAAATATGTTTTAAATAAAGTACAAAGTTTAATAACATATAAAAAAAAGAAATTGCAACCAATGTTACTACATTATGAGTATGCCTAAAATTAAAAACGAAATACACGTCAATTGGACAAGGATAAAACAATTGAATAATTTATTTAGTTTTTAAAAACATTTTTAAAATATAAATATTTATAAAGGACAGTTATATTTTGTACAAGTTGAAACATTTTAAAATATTTGTAATGGATAGTGTATTTTGTAGGAGTGATATTTTTTTTTTAAATTATGAAAGATTATTTTCATGTATTTATTAAATAATACGGTTGTAAAAAAATTGTCATGTCAACTAATAAAAAATGATTATTAACTTAACTTTTAATGTATTTATTATGAAATCTTATATTTTACAAATCATGATTGAATAATAATATAAAAGTATTTATAAAATGAGTAAATAATAAACTATTTACTTATACTTTATTCATAATTAATTTTAGAATTGGCACAAGTAATTAATATATTAAATTTAAAATTAAATTATATTATTAGACTTAATATTTAGCAGAAATAATTTTAAGGGAAAAAATGTTAGTTTTATTGTTTTAAAAGCTATTACAGTTTTTTAAAAATCATTACCTGTTAGTAATATTAAAATTATATTATATTATTATGTAAAAACTCAGATAAATGATATTTGCACAGATTTCTGAAAGAACTAGTACAAAGGTTGATGTTTAAAAAAACAACCATAAAATGATGAGAAGGAACATGGCAGCAACGTTACCTTTGAAAAATTATTTTTAAGAAAAATATATATCATATACAAACACTATTTATTCATATCTTTTAATTGTTCAACTTTTAAAATCTAATTATATTCGTTTAGACAGGTTAAAATGAATTTATTTAACTAAACAAATATACTTGGAATGAATATTCAATAAATTAAATTTAAATAATTCATATATAACTCGATTTATTTATACCGTTTATATCAATTATATAATGTTTGATAAATTTTAGTTAAAAACAAAAATTATGTTAACAATGTTACTATCATTATATAAAAATAATTATTTTATTTAGAAATAAGATTGTTTTAACCTGTAACATTATTAAGTTCATTATTACCTCTAAATATTATCATTTTATCATATTTTTAATAATAATATTTTTAAAATACTCTAACTTGAACACTTACGTGTGAGTTTCGTAGATGTGAAAACCAGACCTACCGACGTAGAAGCACAGAGCATTTGTGAGTGAAGAGAAAGAGACGGTTTGATTTTCCCGAGAAGGAAAGACCAAAGAAAAAGACAATCATATTAATCACGGAAACTTATATGCGTTACAAATCCAGGTGGCTAAGATAATCCCCACGTAGCAACTCCAAAAAATGGAGAAAGTTGCATCCCTTGACACGTAACATTTCCTTGTATAGCTGCATGAAACAAAAGGATTGTTAAATTGTTAAATAAGAGTGGCTGGATCATCACCGCATGCATCATCAGTTGTAAAAACAATCCTAACATGGCACACACTTCCAGAGTCAGAGTCTCTTCTGTTGTTTTGGTAGCTTCCCTAGCCCTTCACTTGTTTTTCCCAGAATGTTTTTCTTCTTCTGTGCTCATTGCAAGAGCATCAGCTTCAGAATCAGATGTTGATCTTTTAGAATTTCCTCTAAACTTAGAATACTTGGAGGCAGAGTTCTTCTTGTTTGGAGCTTTGGGTTATGGGTTGGATATGATTGCTCCAAAATTGGCTGGGGGAGGAGACCCTCCCATTGGTGCCAAATTTGCCAAACTTGACAACCTTGTTAGGGATGTCATCATACAGTTTGGTTTGCAGGAAGTTGGACACTTGAGGTTTTGTTCTCTCTCTAACTACTCCCTGCAATTACAACTTACATTTAGGCAAAAAATGACAAATTATAGTGAACATATTGGTCTTGTTTGTTGCAGGGCCATAAAGAGCACAGTGAAAGGATTCCCTAGGCCTCTGCTGAATCTAAGCTCTTCAGCTTTTGCCGAAGTAATGGATGCTGCTTTTGGGAGAACTCTGAATCCACCCTTCGATCCCTATGCTAATTCAATCAACTTTCTTCTTGCATCTTATGTGATTCCCTATGTTGGCCTCACTGGCTATGTTGGTACCAATCCACTGCTGCATAATTCTTCTTCCAGGAAGGTAAATTATCAAACAAAAGCACAGCTAATCAATTTCTGAGCAATAAATTTGAGCTCATTCTCATGAGATAAAGTTCAGATGTAATCACTTTCTCATTTTGATGTATTACTATTCCTGCCAAAATATTTGATACAAATTTTAACGAAATTAAAATAATCAACCTGCCTATATGCTTTAAGTAAAGAGTGAGGTTATTTTCACTGAAAAAGTTTACGGTAGTCCTTTTTTACACAATTCATTCTTCTCTCCATCTACAAACTCCCTTATTATTTTGTAAACCTCTTTTCTTATGGCAAAAGATGCCACTAGCTAGAACTGCTTTCTGGAAAAACTGTTATATCACGAAATGAATTACTTCTTTCGAGTCCATCTTTACTCTTCATGCTACACAATGACAATGTGCACATGTTGCATTTGCATGAACAGCTTGTAGCAGGGCTTCTGGCAGTAGAGTCAGGACAAGATGCAGTTATTAGAGCATTGTTGTATGAACGCAAAGCGCAATTGGTACAACCCTATGGAGTGACTGTGGGAGAGTTCACAGATCGCATTTCAAACCTTAGGAACAAGCTAGGAAAAGCTGGTTTGAAAGACGAGGGTCTTGTGGTACCTAGAAAGGATGGTGCTGAAGGGGAAGTTAGTGGGAACATTCTGGCTGGTGACAAAGACTCACTGGCATATTCAAGGACCCCAAAGGAAATATTGAGGATAGTATATGGAACAGGGGATGAACATGTCCCTGGTGGCTTCTACCCTAAAGGGGCAAGGGGTCGCATAGCAACCTCCTACTTGAAGCAGAGCATCTAAAGGAAGATTATGTGTTTCGCAATCAAATAGTTGTGCTTATCTCATGACAGTAAACTATTACAATAAGAATGTGTGTTGCTTTGGCCACAGTTTGGTAATATATATTTCTAAAGAATTTAATTGTTTACCATCAACTTAGGTCGCGATGGAGTTCAACTATGTTTTGTGGGGTGGCCAAATATTTTAAGAAATTAATTATTATTTTGTGTGTTAAGTTATTGCTTTGTTGATGATATAGATCAAGTGAGTGTTTTAACTAGCTTGTACGATGATCTTTGGTGGGTTTTCTAAATAGCTTATGACTCTTTCAATGTGAAAAAGAAGTTCATTATAAATAAGGAGTTCAAGGATGTTATGAAGCATGTTCGATAATCTTTTTAAAAGTTATATATAGTGTAAACATTTTAACATTTAAGATGAATCTTCATTGATAGAAGATGAATTTTTATTCTCCAAATCATATATATGATAGACTTTTACCTAAGTAAAGTTTGGTCTTAAACTAAAATTTGTGACCATGAATGAAATGCAAGTGATCTCAGTAGTATATTTTATTACCAAATTGTGAATTTGGTCCAGTGTAATTCTAATCGTGATTTTGTAGTTTGAATAAAAAGTGTAGATTTTAAAAAATATAAAGACTGAAAAAATAGGAGACTAAAATCACGAATAATTAAGGAATGATTAAATGAAAAAACAGAAATCCGCATTCAATTGTTACACTCGATTTGGATTAGTTTAAATAAAATCTCAAATCCAATTGTTCAAGTTCGTAGTTTGTTTTGTTAATACAATTTGAGTAATGGTAATATTTAGATCTTTTGGCAATTAAGTGACTAAAAAACTTCAAGCAACCAATGATATTGGATTAGTTACTTTCCTTAATGATAAGGAATGATTACTTCGTTTTACTTTCCTTAAAAGCATATTTAAATTAAAAACAAAAATAGTTGGTTAAATTTATATATAAATTATCTTCTATTACATATATACATTCGTATTTTTAACTTATACAGAATCACTTTCCATGTTTTCTTCTTATTTTTTTCTCAAAAATACTTGTACAAAAATTATCCAAGGCATATTTATAAAATAATAGATACTTTTGATGTTGTTTTCTTTTAGAATCAGGTTTTATGCCAATAAATGTTCATCCCTGGTACAGACTGCGCATTACAAATCTAATAATTTTCATTATATTCATCATGCAACCATTCTATAATTAGATAACATAAACAAATAATACACCCCATTTGCTTAGATCATCCTATATTTAGAGCCAAAATGTTTAGAAGGGCTCTACGTACATTTCTATGGAATCAAAGGCACAAAAGAATGAAAGATAAAAGATAGCACCTACTTACCTACCTACATTTTCAGCCCTCAACTCTCTTATTTCTTCTGCTTCTCTAACATTTGCTGATGTCTCATTTCTTGAATCCATGACATCATCATCATCATCATCTACAAAAATAATACCATCATCATCATCCTCATCTTCACCATCCCAGTCATCATCAAATTCTTCATCGTCGTCGTCGATATCATCTGCATTTGCACGTAAAGTATGAAACTCCGGAGGAGGAGGGCAATCTTCAGTGATTGCCTCGTCTCTCTTTATCACAAGATGCCGAATAACTCTTTCATCTTGGTCCAACAAAGTCTTGAAATCATTGATATATTTTGCATCCAACTCGAAGTTCATCAACATGTAGTGGGCTTTTTTAGCTTTCTTTATTTTGTAAGCTAGCCTTCTCATACCCCAATCATTCAGCCTCCAAACCTGGCCTTTCTTCTCCCTCATAAAGTCTGTCAATGTTCGCAAAACAATTAGAAACATAGCCATAATAGCATATTTTTTGTTCATCTGTAGATCACAGCAACTTTTTAAGAAACCATTATCACATCAAGGAACCGTTGTATCCACAGCAAGTTTTGTTTGATGAGCAAAACATAGACCAAATTATCAGATAATGAATGTTTGTTCTTTGTAATTCCACAACTTATACATTTTACCACCATCAGTTCCATCTGGATCATAGAGACTACCTAATAATATTGCCAGAGGATAAAGTATATCTAGTGCAAAAGTATTAAACTCATTCTACACGGCATTAGGGGAATACGAGTAGTTGGAAAATGACAGAGAAAACACTGAAAGTTCACCTTGAATTTTCTCGTTGACAGCTGCAACCTCATCTTCATGCTTCTCGTGAATTAAGTACATAACCTCATAGTGGCGCACTGCATAGGTAACGAAGCAGGGTATTGTGAGATAGAACAGCTAAAATGTAGATAAAGATTAGCACCAAGATCTTTTATTTTACTATGCACCGGAACAGGATTGGTAGCTATAATAAGAAGCCATATGACATCTTAAATTGTTTAGGGAAAACAGTGCATGCACATAAGCATGACTCACTACACAAAGATTCCAATTATCAGGGTCTGTCAACAGTAGATGTGCATAGACTTATCCCTACACGTGGAGAGACAGTATCCAAGAGTTGGTCATATGACCTTCTGGAAACAAGACAACAATCTTACTGTTGCATCAAGCTTTAACCTCTACACACGCAATTTAACTTAAATTGTCAGTATGGAAATTGATTGTAACAAAATTATATATAAAAAAAAAAGTGGGAAAACATGTATAAGTTCAGCGCCAAAAAACTGAATGTTAACAGATGACATATCTGATTGTACATTGACCTCACACAGGCTCAGAAGAGTGACATACAATAGTTGTTCCAGGAAAGTAAAAAATTGTGTGCAGGGTAAGAACACAAACATCATTGGCCTTGAAGGTTTCAGTTGAGGATGGTTTGGTACCATCAATCTATTTGACAAGGTATTTGGCCAACTACGAGAGAACACCATTGTTTGTGTCCAGTATAGTTGACACCAGTTAGCTTAACAGGATGTTGCATAGAAGCTTCAATTTGGTGGAAGAGGTCCTTGGGATCATTGGAAAGAAGAGGGTTGGAGGAGTTGATGTTGTATGAATGAACAACAGATGCCATTGGATAAAGAAAAAAAAATCTGTACAGATAGTGATTGCTGAGTAAAGCTTGTGAGCTCTGGATATCTTCGAAGGGAACAATCCATCACATTACTACTATACTATTTGAACAACAACATACATACAATAGTCAAGACTAGACAGCTCACAAACAACTACAAAATCACTGACTATACGGCTCACATAAAAAATTACAGAGAATGAAAATAATTACGAAAGAGATGTAACAAAGTTCCTAATTCTACAAAATTGTCTTCTCTGACAGAGAGGAAAATGAATCTACGTACATATTTCAGTATTCATATCACTTTCCAGCTCAAGCATCAGCGATTCAAAGAGTTCTCCTGCAAATCAAAATTAAAAATGATTAAAAGGAATAATCTCAGCTCAAAAATCCCTAACTGTTTAGCTTATCAAGACAGATGCAAGTAACCATCCCCAAGAGTCTAGGACAAGATTAAACAACTGAACCATGGCCACTCACTTTCCTCTTCGTCTTCAAACTCCGGGAGAAGCTTCCCTTCTTCCTCAACTGTTCTCTGAAAATCGCAATTCCAATAAAAAAAAATCAATATAAAAAAGAAAGTTCATCTCGATCTCATAAAGACTAAGCACAGTTCATTTAATAAAATTCCGCAGACAAGGACGCAATAACGAGTGGCATATAATATCAAAATGTTGGAGACTGTTAGGAACACTTCCTTCTAACAAACACCCAAGTTTAAGCTGAACAAATCTTCAAAATGGCATCCTGCCCTAAACAATAAACCGATAAAAAATTGCACCAACCGGGAAAATCACGTTAAACTGAGAGAGGAAGAGAAAAACAAATGGAGGGTATGCGCAAAAAAGTTACCTTTTTAAGGAGCACAGCTTCGGGGAAGAAACCCGTGGCCTCGTCAGGTTTGGGTACGGAGCTATGGGTATCATCTTTCTTGTCTTTCTTGCGGGCACTTACAATCACTGATGCTGATTTTCTGGGCTTATTGTGAATAGAAAGTGGAAGCAAAGAAGAAGAAGTAGGGTACCCATTCGCGAATATGAGGCATGGATTGTGGTTGAACTTGAATCTAACGCAGTTGGCCGTCATCATGGTGGTTTTCGAATGCTTAGAGAGGGGATAAGAAGGTGCAAGAGAAGAACCTTGAAGCAGTGACTTTGCCTCCATGGTGAGAGTGAATTATACACCCTTCAAGACTCCAAGTGACTCGTTCCGAGTGGGCTCGTTGCGTTTGGACACGTAATCCATATATGTATGATTCTTTTATTTTATGAATTTAATCATAGATTCATAGTTCAAGGTAATTTATTAACCGTGGGTTTAAGGTAATTTGTGTCCAAAACAAAAACAATTTATGTTAAAACTGTACCAAAGAAAAGCTGACTAAAATTATTTTAATCTTTCAATATAATTAAAACCTGTGTCAGAATTAGTTTTAAAAAATAGATTTTAACTAAAATGTGTGTTTGTTATGTTTTAGGAAATTGAATTTAAAGTTTCAAATTTATATTTATTAATGAAAATAACATTAATTATCATTTCCCCCTTTTCTTTATTATTTAGAAAAACAATTCTAGTAAATCTAAAAGCACTATGTGTTTTTTTTTTGTATTGGAGAAAGTTACGAACATGTAGCTGAGATAGCTATTATTTTAAAGAATTTATTTTACATAAATAAACAAGTTATATTACGTAAGATGATGCAACTATTTAGCAAATTTTCTTTTGTACAAATTAAACTCCAGTAGGACTTGTAAAATTTATAATTGTAGAAACTAACTTATGTCAAAATCTTTAAAAAACTAAAATAACACAAGAATATATTTTATGAATTAAATTATATATTTACCTCTAGTAGAAATAGTTGTACTTAATTAAAAAAAAAGTAAATACTTACGTAATGTTAAAATAACTTGAGGTTAATGGTGTTAACTAAATTTTTTTCTTTTTTCCTTGTATGTTGACTCAATTGTTAAGGCATTTAATTTAGGTTAAATTGTCTCGATCAATTATGATAATTAAATATCATAAAAGCATTAATTTCTCTATATCCACCAAATATAAAAGCTGACCAATTAGGAAAAGTCTACAATCATCCGTGCAAGGTTAAAAAATAGTTATTTTTAAAGTTAGCTTTATGATAGAGTAAAATATAAGTAGTGTATGATTATTAAGTTTGGGTTTTTCTTGAAATAAAACTTTTTATTTCAAATGTCTTTTCTTCTAAAATGATAATCAAAATAATGAATTATTTTATAGACCAGAGTTCCTTACCTTTTTAATTTATATTTAATGCAACACAACTACAAAAATTACGCAATCTCTCCACAGAAACCAGTTTTGGGAGTAAAGTTGATAATATTACAAAAACAATGTGTATGAGCATGGTTGGTGCCTAATATTCATATCTTTCAATATCATACAAATGACAATTCATTACTTCACTCTATTTATTATTTGAATTAACTAACTATTTAATTCACCGTCAGAAAGTCATAGTTACGTATGTAACCAAAACTTGGATAATATGAGGTGGCATAATGGCACATGAGGTGTTCTAGTATGGTATATACTAATGCTATTATGGCCGTTGAGAATTGCTCAATGGGGGTTTACAATTTTGTTCCTTGGCGAATGACATTTACTAATTGCTTAGAAGACCCAGCTTGATCATTGCAATAAGAAAATCATGCCAGAAGGATCACTTGTACAAGGCTGTATTAAAGGGCTAAAGGATTACCAAAAAAATTATTGAACAACAAAATCTACACTTTGAGAAAAATAACGCTGTACAATATGGCTCCAACTCAAATTTTCAGGCTTCATTTAACATATAGCGACTTTGAAACTTACATGCTTTTCAGCCTTGGAAGTGCTCAAGGCAATACTCCCATAATGAGATATAGCAGCATCCGGTTATCACCATTGCTTTTTCCCCTTTTTCTTTCTCTTGGTGCTACTGCCACTCGCACTAGCACCAGCACCACTGCTACTGCCAGGACTTTTCATCCCATTTCCAGGTTTGGGAGATGGGCTCTCTGGTGCAGTGCCATTAAAATTGTCAAACACACCTGCCTGTACTGCATTCTGTAACCACTCAAAGAATTCTTCCTCAGTCATGGATTCTTCGATATTAGGTGTTGGCATCCGCCCACCTCTTTGACCTGAACTAGTTCCTTTGCCAGAATTATTCTTGGACATTAAACTGGCGTTAACATGAAAACTTGGCTTATGAGTATTAGCTGGACATCTCATGCCCTGCAATAAATTTGTTCATCATTAATGCCTCGTGAATCTTTAATCTCAATGAGCAAACTATGCAGTATGAACATGTGAAATTGTGAAAACCAGCCAATCTAAGCTTTAGAGATAACGTATCTAGCATCTGGAAACTAAAGAAATGTCTATATCACTATTTCACATAGCATTGCTAGAGAGAACAGTTCTTTCTCAATTCCCCGTTCAAACATCTCATTGCAAATCTGGTGGTGCATTTAACAATCAAAGACACTGCTAGCCAATCACATAAATCCTCTAATGCACTAAATTACCTGACAGATATACCATTCCGTGGCATCGTATATCCTGCTACCAGCACACACATATGCTGAAGGAGCATCCACCTAAAATAGAAACAATTCAAAGTATTAAGCAAAATTGCACTCTCACTGCATCTCAGAACCAGGAATTGGCTCAGATAAAATTTGAACTACAGGTTTTAAGTAGTTCTTAAAAAAGATTTTCAAAACAGTATATTGATCCTTACCTTCTGCAATAAGCCAAAAAGAAACGGTTGGGAAGATTGTTCAACCCATCCATCACCATCCTTCGCTTGATGAAAATCTTGGCAATCCTTTAAAAGAAAAAACCTCATCATCTTAAAACAGTGACATCATACATGTGAAAAATACTCTCAACAGGGGAAATATGCTGAGACAGAATACTAGCAAATATTTAGCGATTATATTATACTAAGGTAACTGTCAGTTAAGCATGCTACTAATGCTTCATTGAGAAGAAAACAGATCAAGAAGGAACCTGGCACCATCTTGCCCGAGACTTTTGTTTCTTGGTGTGTATCCAGACATGAAAACCGCCACACCTTTTGCAGGCTATTCGCCTTGAATCACCAAATGGGTCTTTGCCATCTGCATCAGACCGTGCAAATCCTGAAGGAAAGAATCCATGCCTACCATTCTGGCAAATTAGTAGCATTCAAAGGAAGAGTTAGTAAACAGAACAATAAATTAAATGAAAAACCAAATTGCCAGGTTCTCTAAATGGTATGCAGAGTCTACAGAGCACAAGCGTGTCTGAAGAAAAAAGAAACAGCAAACTGCCCCTTCCAGATAAAGAACAATAAATGCAAGAGTACACATCCGATGCATATCCATAGTAATTGCGTAAATATCTTCTAAAATTAGCATTAAAATATTAGTCATTACATTTCCAATGTTTGGGATTCTGGTCTCTCAACTTGAGCTATGGCATCAATAGTGACATAAAAATTTATTTTAAAAGTATATATATGACACAGGAGATTAAATTACTCAAACATAATTCTAAGAAAATAACTCTTTATCCTCACCCTTCATTTTCTCTTAATCTGATGGTTAAAGGTGAGTTGTTTTTTGGGAAAATTTAAATTTAGAAAAAAATTAAGGACGGGGATGAAGGGTTACCTCCTGGTTCCTCTCCCTCTCTCTCTCTTTATATATATATATATATATGTGTGTGTGTGTGTGTGTGTGTGTGTGTGTGTGTGTGTGTGTGTGTGTGTGTGTGTGACCAAAGTAAAAAAACTTAATCTGTAATGATTCGCGAACAACAAACATTCATCCTTACTGAGCCTTCTACCTCTCCATGGTTCGTATCCCCAATACTAATGAATATTATGATTCATGACCCATAATGTTCCCTTTCCACTTCCTACAATACTAAAACAGAGAAAAAAAAATGCATAAATCATACCTTACGAGAAGCATCATGAAATCTACGAAATACACTCAAAAGCTCCTCTCTCCGTAGCTCATCATCGTAAGCTTTTCGCTTCAAGGAGTCCATTAGAATCTGGGAAATCATTACAACCATACAGTATAAGGGAAGAGTTTTCTCGTGATTTTCAGGGTGAACAAAAATTTTAAACTCACCTCATACGCATTTTGAAGTTTCTTAAATGCTTCAGCAGCCTTCTCATTACCCATATTTTTGTCAGGATGTACCAACATTGCCTGAAAATCAACAAATTTGAGTTATAGCAGAAAATTAAACTTTTATCCTACAAGTCAATATCCAACCACCAATAACTCCTGACAATACAAAATCTTAGAAAGTCGTGTCAAAATAAAAAATGGCTGTGCAAGTCTTTATGTTAGAGAATGACAATAACCTTTTTCCTATATTCCCGCTTAAGTATTGAAACATCTATACTTTGATACCGAGTGAAGCCCAGTGCTGCATAGTGATCAGAGCAGTTCAACAAACGGACAACCTCATCTTCAGATGTTAAATCAGAATCAACCCCACTAGTTGAGGGGATGCCAGTATTGCGATCTACATATGGTCCAGGTCCATTTTCAGAGGAAGAAGCATGTGTTGATCCATCACTAAATCCTGGTTGGCCATGCATTCCAGATCTATGCTCAAAATGATTAGATCTACTCTGTTGATCTATGTTTTTCTTGAGGAAGTATATCAGAACATCACTAGAGATAAAAGCTAAATTGAAAGCCAATAGCAAACCAAGCCACCCAACATACAGCCATGCACAGTAAACAGAATACACTGTGGTGATAAGCAGTGCCACCCGTTCATGACTAAACATAAATGCCAATCCTGAATTTAAATAAAATTAAATATTTAGTAAATTTAGCATGAAAATACATCAAGCAGCATGAATATATATTATGTACATACATAAGGCTGTGTAACATGCATATCCAACTAGCATAGAAAGAAGGCCACAAAAAACTAACAGCGTGTTAAAGGTAAACAGAAGGGTAAACAAATCACCTCCTAGGATGATGAAAAGTGCTGTTGTCCAAAAGCTACCATAAAACCACAAGGTAACAACTCCAATAATTGCAACTACCAAAATTGCAAGCATGAATCCAAGAAAAAATCCAATCAAGGCAGCCAGGCCCTGATCAGTTACAAAATGCTAGTTAGTACAGGAAGAGAAAAATAAATACAAGACCTCATTGAGGTCACAAATAGAATGAACAAATGCACAAAACATCCCAAATAAAAATGTAAGGAAATATATCAAGAACTAAAGAGTAACATGTTCACTAAATTCCTCCAAATTATCATGTTTGTTACATGTGGGGTTCAAAAGTCAAATAGTTACAAGACGATGCAATCCAAGCTGATTTGTTATGCACACTCCCAGCCCACACGAGTGTTTACTAATTGGACAAAACAAAACAATTTTTCCCTCTTGCTGAATTATCACTACCATATCTTAACCTAAAATTGCAACAATCAGAACAAATGTACTTGGAAGTTAGAAAATGCTTCCATTATGAAACATCTTATGATAATAAAATAAAAATCAAAAGAAATGTAAATATAAGTAAATAAGATGCAAGTCAACAGGACTCGATATAGATTTTCAGTCTAACTATTCAACGAACGTTCTTTCATTCACATTTCTTTCCTAGAGAGATTAAATTCAATTGTAGGAGATTAACCAACAGAAAATACTACAATGCAGATCGTGCATCCATCTACACAAGGAGAGAGAGAGAGTGTGTGTGTGTGTCTCTTCAAAAAAACTAACAAGATAAAATTGAATTAACTATAATAGCTACAAAAGCTTCAATCATTAAGATCATTTTCATCAGATTAACTCCAAGATAATAAAAAGTAATTACAAGTGTGACCAGGGCTTACCAGGACAGCAAGAAACTTAAGCATCCCAATCATACTAATCACGGAGAATATGCTACACCATATAACAGAGAAGAAGGACGTTGTACCCATTCGTACAAATGAATCAATACCTCGAAGCGCACAGTCCAACCAAAATACTGATAATAGGAGCATTACATTTCCAAAATGCATGAGCAACTTCAGAATAACAGGATATGCCTGCACAACTTTCGTTCTGGAATTATGATACACTTTAAACATGATGGTTTTAAGAGATACAAACAATGGAGCCTGCCGGGTTAGCCACTCTGAAATTGCTGTAAACATGGAAAACGCTGAAAACCTCAATCTCCTAATTATCACATTATCGGCAAGGTCTGCTTTATCCACCACACTTTTCAGGTGCAAACTATCCAGTATACAGCTCAATCTACTCTTTATACTCTGATAACCTTGATCACTTCTAGGTAAAGTCCCATTTTCTTTTTGTACTGAAGCTTCAGAATTAAAACTGTCATCCCCATAATTTCTCTCAAAGGGCAAGGACTCCTCCAGGTCATGCTTTCCAGCCATCCCTTGCTTATCTTTACTATAAATATTTTCAGATATGAGCTCATCGTTAAAGTCATCACCTGAAGAACTAGCATCACATGCAGTCCGCGAAACACCACTATCGCCGTCTGCAAGTTCCTCTCTCGGGAAAACCTTAACCGGCCCTCCTTTACCATGGCCTTTCATTCCCGGAAGCACACCACCAGAAACCCCTTTTCTGTGGTTCAATCCATGACGGTCCACTCCATTCTTCTGCTGATTACCCTTCCGAGCCATGTAGCTAGTTAAACCTTAGGAAACTACTCAAAAGGAAGGCTCCAACTCATAAACTCCACTAGCACTAATACCTGATTAGCAGAGGGAAACGAAAGATTAAGCCCAAAATCAGCGTGCCGCAATCAACCACACATTAACACCAAATAGCAAGTAGTGTCACACACAAAATTGACATTAAACATCACATGTGTGCACAATAAACCCTAAAATCACACAATAAATTAAATTCAACGCACCACTTGAAGAAATAAAAAATAGGAAATAATTAGGGTTTGGTATAAAGGAGTAAAACAATAATCAAGTGGTCACACACGAGAAACTGAAATAGGCAAAAGCACGAGATCATACAAAAACGTGTACCTCGAACTACGGTGTGCCACGATGAGAGAACATCGAGAAGAAGAAGCATCGAAACCCCTAAACGCAAAAGGATCGTGTGTGGGTGGGTGTGTAAGAGAGAGTTATCTGTGTGAGACAGAATCAGAGTTGCGAAGAGAACAGAGAGAAAAAGAGAGATGATAACAATTTGTGCAGTTTGTTTGTTTCTTGACCGAGGACTGGCTAATGTGTCATCCACTTACTCGCATTTTCAACACCACTTGCAAACCGAGTTACGAACCAACCAAACACACCTTAATTCTCGTGTCCCCACCTTCTCATGCTAATTAATATGATATGGAACATAGTTTGGGTCCACCATGACCTATAATTAGTAGTAATTCAAAATATTAATCGTATTAGTATCTTTGTTATTCTTATTACATCATTTGTTATATTATTGTTTTTCTAAAAATACCTTTTTTTTTATCTGTCCCAATCAACTTCAAAACGAGGTACATGTTTAATTTTTTTTCTTAATTAATGTTCTCTCACAAATATGGTATTAAATTGAATTGAATTTATTTGAGGTATATTTACACTCATCCAATCATAATATTCTAATTAAACTCTAATACAAAATGAAACAATGGTCTCTCTCCTTCCACCATGTTCTTGGTGAAGCTAATTTGATTACAGAAATTTTGGTCATAGTTCAACTTTTGCCTCCGTATACCTAACCCTGATTAGTACGATGGTAACGGAACGGATATAGGAGCTACCCCTTTATTTGTCCACCAAAAAAGTAAATCCGCCATCACTGGTTGGAGTATTAATTTTTTTAAAATATTAATTTTTTTAAAACATGTTATTTATCGATATCCACAAATACTTATTATCTTTTAAATAATATTTTTTATTTTAAAAATATACGCTTCAATAAATTTCTTTTATCTTAAAATATATTTTAAATAAAAATAAATTTTATAAGAAATGTATTTAATTAAGTTATAGTATAAATTTTAAATTTAAATAATATTAGTCTCTAAAAACAATTTCAATTCCATAAATTTAGATAAAAAATGATTTTATAAATTCAAATTTTAAATAATTTTTCAATAATTAATCTCTTTTTCTTTAATAAATTTATTTTGATAACTTATTAAAAAAGTTCAAATAAAATTATTTATAAATAGTGCATATAGACATTTGTATATATACCATGACACCCTCAAATATTTGCATATGTTGCCCTCAAATACTCATTTGAAATATTCGTTTTTATCCGTAATTGATTTTAGCATATACAATTTTTTTCCCTCCCTATCCTTGTAGTAGATACTATTTTTGTTAGATAACTTTAATTTTCTCTTCTTCTTTTTTCTTTCTTTATTTGGTTTTTATTTGTTTCCCAATCATTAAAAATATAATTTTTTATATTATTATAATTGTATAAAAAAAGTTTAACATAAATTTTTTATATATTTTTTTATTTTAATCTGTGATGTATAATATATAGATTTTATATTGTTACAAAACCATGACCAACACTATAAAATAAGTTAAATTACTCATTTTAAAACGAACGTATTAAACAAACCCGTCAAAAAATCACTTATTTTTATTAAAAACCATTTTAAAAAATAATCACAAAAGTGAATCTGCAATCTATATTTTATAATCTCAGTGTAAAAATGTAAGCTTTGGTCCACGTTTTCTCAGATTTCCTGCGAATTTCACACCTTCCAAACAACCCCTAGAGGAAATTATAATTCGAAATCCATAGCATCAACATCCTAAATAGTATACTGTTGGTAAAATGAAAACAAGAACATGAAAAAAAGTATCTTTCTTTAACGAATATATATAAATACTGCCATTTTTTCTCTGTGGACTAGAAATGCACAATATTAATTTTCTTTTTCTTTAGGTCCCATCATCACATGTTAAACCTACTTATGTGAAAGATCAGACAACCTTCTCCGTTCTCCAAGGGGAAAGTGATCCGACTGTGTAAACAACACACTTTATCCATCAGTTTTTCACTTTTTCCACCAAATCATCAAGTCTCAAAGAAATGAAGTTGTGTTGCATGAAACCTTCATTCGATCCATGTTGCAGACACAATCCTGGCAGCATTTAACAATACATCCAGCTATTGCCTTATGAAATTTCAAAACAGAACAACTCAGTGCAATCTGCAACTCCTAGACAACTAGTCCTTTTGATGGCTGGATTGGATCAGTATTTAGATAGGCTTTTATATGACATTATCTGATAAAACACTATGCAATCAGAAGAATGCCCTTAAAAGTGTTTCATGCCTGTCACAGAATACTGAAGTGTTGGACTCTTGAAGTGAAATAGAATTGCATGGAGGGGTGCCGAGACAGTGATGATAAACTGCTGCTGAGTAATTTGTTACTAATCATAGTGTTAGGTGTTTTATTCATAAGTACTTTATGTATTCACAAGTATATGTATTTGAAAAAAATATAACAAACTAAAATCAGAACCCAGTACTTTACATAAGATATATGCTCTTGAAACAAGACTTGCTAAGATTAGACTGTTTCAGCTTGAAAAGATGATTAGATAACATCAAAATAGAATAAATACATAACTGCGCATTACCATGAATGAACAGGGTATACACTATATAAAATTAATTTACATGCACTCATAGTGTAAAATTTTTTAGTGTTAACTAATCAGAAATCATCTCAACTATGATTTTTACAATTTTATAATAAAAGCCAATAAAAACTTACCATATATGGCAATATGTTATTGGATAACAGTTGTAGCACATTACACTGTCAATGTATTCTAATTTACATTCATATTTATATTTATATATAATACTGTTTATGAATATTTGCATAAAACGAATAATAAGCCTAGACATGGACTAATAATTCCTAGGACCAATGGAGAAAGCAAAAAGAAACTCACCCTTGACAGAGTTCCTACTTGACTAACGTAAGTTTTTTTTTTTTTTTAACTTCTCATGGTATTCCAATTAGGTCGGTCCTTTAAAAAGGCTACAAAGGGATCCCTCATTAAGAGCATCATAACTAACGATTATCCTAATTGATAAAAAAGAAAAAAGAAAACAATTATCCAAATTAATAGGATCATATCTAACAATTACCCCAATTGATAAAATAAAGAAATTTCTAATTAATAGGATCACAACTAACAATTATCCTAATAAAAGATAATAATGTTTAAGAATTTCAAATCAGGAATTCTAATATGCAGAAGTTAAAAACTAAAGATTTAGAGAAGTTACACATGAGAGTTTCTACAAGTTGGCTTATGGTGAAACTAATTTCAATTACTCCAAACAGGCCCGTAGTAATCCTAATCAATATGGAATTATCTGGTATCATCATACATAAATATGCCTAACAATTACCACCACTGTAGTATTTAGTTGATAGAGCCATAAATCTCACCCTTTTTGTACTATGTGTGAAAGTGAACAGATAAATCAATTAGATGATGCTAAAATATTTGTGATATAGGATCTCAATGGCAAAGTCAATGAAATAATTTTAAAATAAACATACGGCATCAGAAAAATACAACATCTTGAGCAAACAATAATGGCTAAAAATGAGTATCAAATACATGCAAGTTGCAACTACAAATGTATGTACAAAAGGCTATTTATTGAAGTCACACCTCAGTTGCATGAGACAATGGTGGAACAATACAATGACGCTTCCATCGAAAAGCCAATATCACAATTCTAACATGACTACCAGAAACAAATGACATCTTAAGCATAACAAAGATTTAAATGAATATAAAACACTTGCAACTAGAAATTTATGTACAAAAGTGAATTGTTGTAGTCACCATGACTCAGTTACATGAGAACATTGTGCTGCGATATGCATGAGCAGAAAACCATAATGGGAGTGCTGAACTATACTTGACAGAGTACATTTCTTTCCAAACTTGACTCTTGCGATGATACACCAAAATCTGCTTATGAGTTGCCAAAAAAACATATTCACCGGTTTGACTGATCGGGAAAATACCTGGCACCATTCCCCTGATACACCTCAGACTCACCTTATCCACCATACACCATTCATCTTTCCAGTAATCTTTTAACACCCATATATTCATCCATGCTTCTGAAATTTTAATAACAGACAAGCAGCCATCAAAGTCTAAGAGATAAATCCTATAACCATTTCCATAAATCAAGTCATAGGGTAGCTGCATCTTCTTCCAAACGTCACAACTTAAATCAAGCACAAGTATATATGTAGAGCTAACTGTCAACCAGTGTAGAGCATTATTGACAAAAACAACCTGGTTTTTATTCATATGAGTGAAATGGTCATCTTGTAATGAAACAAACTTCCTCCACTTGTTCAACTCAGAATCAAACACCAAACATATGAAACTCCCATCCGGCCTATGACCAAAAGTGCGATGGTAGCCTGCTAGAACAACATTGAACTTCTGATACGCCGAATCACAGGCCAAGCCAACCAAGGTAGCCTCGCCATCCGGATAAAACCGAGTCACAGGCCTTTCCCTACTCTTGGGAAGCAACCGGTATTCGCGAGTGACCGGATTGCAGACATAGAAGACACCCTTATCAGGAATACTAGAGCAGCACAGCATCCCATTACAAGATGCTCGAACCTTAACTCTATCATTCAAGAAATTCAGTGAAAATTCAGACACACCCCTCAAATTATCCACACATATTAAGCTAGATTTGGACTCAGACGAATCTGAAACCTCGACCAGAATCATGGGGTTCTTCCTAGACACCTCATTGTATAATTGAACGAAATACTTATCCAAAGACATCCTATTCCACAGTTTGCACACGGTTTTGAACCTAAAAATGGACTTCACAGGCAACCTTGCAAGAATCTGAATAACCACCTCATCCGGGAAAATCCCAGCTCCTCGCATATCCATAACGGAGAACCTCAAATACGCAATCAGAACATGAATAGCAGATTTTTTTTACTTGAAAATAAAAACCCTGGTACCCAAAAGAACAAAGTTAAGGATTAGATCTTCTCTTACCGGAACAAAATTCGGGGTATCCGATGAAGCGGTAGTTGATGGGATGGGGACAGAAAGGATTCAACTTTGGGCCGGTGGTGGGTTTGCGATGGTTGCAGAATGGGAAAGAGAAAAACGAGTCTTCAAATTCCGTTTACGTTTGAAAAAAATAATAGGGGATATGTCGTCATTATTGACACAAATAGACACGCAAGAATGAATATATAATATTGATTAGCGTTTACCAGAAAAAGGGAAATAGTTTAGAGGTTAACGATTGGAATAACAAGGAACACGAAACGTGAACTTGATCACACAATGGAATATATATAAGGGAGAAGGAAAGAGAAGGGGATCGAATCAAAGGAACTTGGTACATTCAGAATGAGAAGTAGACACAGAAATGAATAAACTTCGGAGGTGTACAATGAGATGAATTCAGAATGATGACCGCGAGAGGGTTTTGTTTAGTAAATTATGATGCCTTGAACAAATTGTCTCTAACCACTGATAAAAAAAATAAATCAATTATTAAAACCCACGGATGAATGAGAGTATTACAATATTATAAAAATCATAATTTTTAATCATAATTTTAGAAACACTATTTCACCTTAATAAGAAAAAAAATGGTTAGCCTCTTAAAATTATTTTAAAAAATAATATAGTCACCATAGAAACTAACTATTGATATATAAATAGGTTTTTGGTTTGATTTATAAAGTTTAAATTTATATATATATATATATATATATATATATATATAAATATTTTAATAAACATTAGAGTGTAAAGTTTAAAGCCCATATAACAATATATGTAGGTTAGGGTTGGTTTTTAAATTATAGTTCAATTAAATGCACACATTTTTAACCCATCCCAATAATATTCATGTCCCAATTAAAATTATTTTAATAATAATTTATTATTATTGATTTTAGGGGATAAGAATTGAATCCATCAAAATCATTTTATTCCATTTTAGTACAATTTCATCATGTAAAACTATTATAGTTGGAATTAAGAGAAATATACTTGACTTAAGTTGAGAATAGAATTCTTTTAGTAAAGGTAGAGGCGAAAATATTTTACACGATGTTGAGATTATGGATAATAAAATGAGCCTGTATCTCTTGTTTTTATTCGTCTCATCTTTAACGTGTAAAAAATGGAGCCGTACTGATATGTTATAATTTTTTTAATTTAATTTATTTATATATTTTAAATTAAATTTTTCAATAAATTTAATAATAAAATGATATAACGTATATATTTCAAGATAATAATATAAAGTGTCTTCATTCCATTTGAAGAAAGGAAGGATTCTAACAAAGAATCGATTTTTCTTTCGATGGTTGAATCTCTCCTTGATTGATTATCGAAATAATTTTTGAATTGTACAGAAAATCTTTTCAATTGACTGGAATATGTTACTTGAATGGAACTAGATTTTATGGAATAATAATTAAATTAAGATAAAATGTATATACTAATAAATAATAACAAATACACGTAGACAATGTGAAATTTTGTAAAATATTGATTTCTTATATTTAAAAATTCAAAAACTTAAAACAAAAATTACATTGTATTTTTTTATTTGGTAAAATTTTATATTGGTCTTCTTTTGAGTAATTCTCGTACTCTCAATTTAAGTCATGGAGATACAAACAAATAATGTTTAAGATGAGTAAGGAGGAAAGAAGAGAGTAATTTGTGCTTGAGAAATGAAAGTGTTTCGAGTACTAAGTGAGAATGAAACTTTTCAAATTTTCTTTTCACACTTTTTTACTTAAATGAGCCGTAGACTAACCTATCACATTCGACAGGTTGACGAATTTTACAAAATGGATCGAAATGGAATGAGATATTAAAAATATTAACCTACCCGTCATATTTATAAACATACTTGATTCTTACCAATTTTATATGAGATAAAAGGATGGGAGACATAATTACATTAGTCAACTAAAAATACTAAAGTCTAGGTTAAAGTGAAAATGTTTTAGCTTTTGTCAAATATAAGTCCTTTAATCAAGATCAAGATAAAGTTACTTTAATGGAGGATTAGTTAAAGATACTATAGTTAGAGCAATTTAAAAGTACTTTAATTAAAATTACTCTAATTTAAACTGAGTTCAAATTACTCTAATCAAAACTAATTTAAAATTACCCTAGTTAAAGTTGAATTTAAAATATTTAAACCGTGATTAAGGTAAAAATAAATTGGTTAATATTTAGTAATAGATATTTGGTTAAAATCATGTTGAACATTATTTAATTTTAAATGAGTTGACAATATTATGATTATGATAAAAGAAAAATTACTTAAATAAGATTGAGTTGAAGTTATTATGGTTAATATTGAGTTTAAGATATATTTTTAATTGAGTATTTGTAATTAAGATTGAGTAGATGATATTTTAGTTAACGTTGAATTGAAGATACTTTAATTCAGATTGAGTTAAAATTACTTTTGTCAATGAATTCAAGTTATATTAATCAAGTTCAAAGTAAAAATATTTGTACTGAAAACGAGATGGAATTATTTTTTTTAAGGCAAAGGTGACAATCCTCCAACTAAATTTGAATTGAAGATATTTTGATTGAGAAAAAGCTGAATATAATCTACTTGGGTTGAGATGAAAAGATTGTAATCAAAGTTGAGTTAAAGATTTATTAGTTAAGACCTAGGTGAGAATACCTTGTTTAAAGTTGAATTAAATGATATCTAATTTGAGATTATATTTTAATTGAGATTGAAAAAAGATAAATTAGATAAAATTAATTTAAAATTACTTAATTCATAATTAAAGTAAAAGTTATCTAATAATTACTTAGTTGAAGATATTTAAAAATTTAAAATAAAATTACTTTTTGAACAAGATTCAAATATAGAAAAACTGAGAAAGATAAATTAAATGTACTTTTTATCAATAACAAAATTAGTATATATACAATTCAAAAACATTATAATTTCACAGATCTAAACAAAAATTAGATAAAATATTCATTTATAATAAATGTTAATGAATAAATTAGTGAATTTAATTTAATGGATCATATATTGATTTTTAAATAAAATTTTAGAATCTATACAGAGATTAATAAACTATTTTTAATTCATTCATTATAATCAAAATTTTAAAAAATATTAACAAGCATATAAAATTACACACTTTTAATCAATTTGTTAGCCCCTCTTAAGAAAAGAAAAATGAGTAATTGATAACTAAATTGCAGATATACATTTATTTAATTTGTAAAAAAAAAGTTTAAACTTTTGGAAACTAAATTATATAACGATATATACTTAATAATTAGAAGTAAATCATTTGTCACGGTCAGATATCAAACTCTGGATTAACTCTACGTGAAAACCTTGATGTGGGTTCAATTATGAATTATTTTTCATAACACGAATATATTCTTTGATAAATTAACTATTATAATACTAATTTTTTTATTATATTATTAAAGTTGTTGGTTATCAACCAAATATATATTATACACCCTGTTATAAAATACCATTTAAGAGAAATGTTTTAACTTCTTTTATAAGAAAAAACATAAAGAGATAGAGACAAAAGTTTTGAACCCCGTCAAACTAGCAATTCATGGAACCACCTGTGAAATTCTCACAATGTACCTTTTTTTTTTTTTTCCTTCACTGCACTTTCTTCTTTATCTCTTCCAGATGGAAATTAGAAACAAAAAACAGTGCATAAGCATAACTGTTAACCACCTTCCTTTTCTTCATTCAAGATGTTTGATTTTCGTTCTTATCAAAAGTGGGTGCCCTCATACTCCCCCTCTTGAACGCTTCCAATCCTCCATCAACTTGTTCTTCTAACGAATCAATCACTGCATAAGCATGCTAAATTATGTGCACAAGCACAAACTAAAATTCCTGAGCTATTCAGAAAAGGAGTATTTAATGAAACCTGTGATATGATCCGGAACTAAGTATGCTAGAAAATAAAAACAAATACTCAATTCATTATGTTTGTAGACATGAACTTCTTGTATTCTGGGTCTTCAGTTCAATGTATTAACATCATAGATACATGTACCAAAGTAAAGTCATTTGGATTCTCACTAAAATTAGAAAGTTGAGGTTGCAGCTCTCGCATGGATGAGTATCAGGAATACTAACAAATTCCACATATTTTTACAGATTACATTTCAACTCCAGAAAGTGCTAAATGGGAAGCATTCAGTAGAAAGCGTTTGGGATATAGGAGGTGTTAGTGAGTGACGGTAGTAGATAACATTTTCATTGAAGGTGGTAAGAAGAACATCAAGTAGTTCACTAATAATCGGGTCTTCAGTCCTAAAAGAAAACATAATGAATAAAAAACCAAAACATTCAGTTTTGTTTGAACTCCTGATAAAAGAATCGAGTAATGAAATCAATCAATCAACTCATAATGAAAGAAGTTTAGCCAACAACTGATAATAAAGCTTAAATATGTGAATGGAACAATAAATCATACAAGTTTCGTTAATTTAACAGTGGATGAAAGGTATGAATTAAACATACCAAGGGTACAGTTCGAAAATTCGTTTAAGTATAACTGCTTAATCAAACAATGAAACAAACTTCTGAACACAGTTAACATTCCAACAAGTCTCACAAAAAAGAAAATACTAAGGATTATTGTTTCATATAATACTTTAAGATGACTTTTTTTAATGTTAAAAGAAGTGAACATTCTTTTATAAAACCAATATTTTTGAGCCAAAACATAATTTTTAAACGGATGCCAAGTATTTAGTGTTCTAACAAATTCCATACAATCGTACAGGTGTTGGGGAAGTGGCAATATGTAGGTGTCAAAATTGTGTCCAACACTCAGATACCCCAAGCAAGAGGAGTGTATGTGCTTCATAGATTAGAGCCTAATAATAAGAGATCAACAGTTAAAAAGTAACATGTAAAATATGGGAAACAATTAGAAGGACTTCAAACACAGTAGACAGCAACAAGATTAAAGGAGCATTGCCAGCACACTTTGAGGTTACTCACCGAGTACATATAGAGGCAATGAAGATAAATTATACCAAGTATATCACATTAAAGGAATAAAAAAGACTATTTCGCTAAATTAATATATCAAAGGATGTGTTGTTTAAGTCATACCAAAGAAGCAATCACCCATTTTCCATTTATCCATTCTTGATGAGGCCTCAGATTACAATGCTCAAATTCCAGCTCCTCCTTTGTAGACCAAAAGTAAACCTTATACTTGGAACTAAGAAGAATACTAGATACTTGACCTACCCACCATCCATCATTATACCAAGCATCAACCATTTCACGCAGTGCAAAGTGGTGAACATGTTTGAAATCTGGTGGATATGGCCTGATATCTGTAGCATTTGCTACTTCTTTCAGTTGTTCAGTTAAGTCATCAGTTCTCAGGGTCAAATACTCCACCAAGTACTTACCATTCTGCAAAGAGTCAACAACAATGGCCGTGTACCAGGCACCTTGGTAGCCTTCTTCATCACTTCTGACTTCTATCTTTGCACCTTTAGAGAAATGTACCACACATTTGCTTTGGGTGTTCGTGGTCCTAGCTGTTACATCTCTCGGATTCTTTGAACTCTCATTAGGCTTTTGGCGTTTTAAGACTAAATTAATTTCAGTGAGATTCTTGGTTTTAGACATCGGATCTCCAAACTCCTTTAATAGTTCACTTGATTTCTGACATTTGTCCAATGCATTTAAGCATTTCCACCAAGAAAACAGAATAAAAAATGTAAGAAGTTAGGAACCACATGACTCTTTTACATATCATATTATGTTATTTATAACTGTTACTATAGTCTGGAAATATATTAGAATTGAACTTGAATACAATTTTATTGTAACTAAAGAGGAAACTTCAAATCGAGTGACAACCATGTGCAGATACCAAGTTAAGCATGATTAAAATAATTTTTTTGTGAGTTAATTTTGCTGGAAACTGCTACAAAACTTGGGGTCATTCAATCGAAATCTCAAGCTTCAATTGACCATAGGATCATCTAATAAAATGTAAGAGAGTTTAACAAGTTTTTGTGTTTGAAGTTTTATCATCCCTTAAATCAATTTCGCAAGAGTCAGTATCAGTTGCAATTTTTGAGTAATTTTTTTTATTATAAAAAAGAAAAAGCTTCCGAGTGTTTACCTTGGAAGGCATAACGACCCATTTTCCATCGATCCAGTCGTGATGAGGCCTTAGTCTAGAATTTTCAATTTTCAAGACACCACTGTGAATGAAAGAAATCAAACATTTTGCATCATTTAGTGCTTCAAGAACCACGGCTTCCCACCACCCATCATTATACCATGCATCAACTTCTTGGAACTGTTTGAAAGAACCAGAAAATGGAACCTCAAGAGGGCAGGGCCTAACAAACCGTTCATCAATTTCTTCTTTCAAGATCTGGGTTCCACCATTGGTTTTCAAGTCCCTATATTCTACTTGAAATCTGTCTTTTCCTATTATGTCAACAATAGTAGCAACAAACCAGGCCCCCTTACAACTTTCATCATCCCTTTTGACTTCCACTAGTCTCCCTTTTCTAAACTTTGATTCATTTAGAGGTCTCCTGCTGTATTTGATCCTAAACCTTGAATTTTCAGGCTTTATCTCCATCTCAGGGGGCTGCTCCTGCAACCCAAGTTTTATGCAAATTAGCAAACATCCAATGCAATTGGGTGTTTGTTCAATTTGAACTTGTACTTAGCAGGGCAATATGCCACTCATTACAATGCCACTGGTCAGTTTAAATAATGTCACTGAGTAAAACTCTCATTATACCTGAAGATATTAATGACATGTAGGGAATTGTCCACATTTATATAGACAATCACTCCACCAGGAAAACCCATTGCAATGTTGAACATTACATCAAAAACAGGAATACACATCCACGTTGGCAGTTTGGCATTCACACGCTTTCGTTTTCAACAATCTCACAGTTTATGCACAGGATATTTAACTGCAGTATATATCAACTTCCACAAATATAAGAATCCAAATGATGATTTAGCTTTTCTTTTATTTAATGTTTTTTTCCAGCACCAAGAATCAAATATCAAACAAAAAACAAAATCTACATTCTTGTGACAACCAATAAGCTCTTGTACCAATCCTCTGCAGTCAACAAAACAAGATCCAAGTAAGCAACACTATCTGTGTAGCCGCCACAAGCAAAACTTATAATCATCTCATGCATGGTAACCAAGCTATATGCTTGTTACCACAAAGTGTTCTTATGATGTTTAATAAAATCCAAATTACATATCAATGAAGGCAAGTGGAAAGGTTTCCCGCAAAGACACTCAACTTCATCAACATACTTCATTTCACTAACAATGCAAAGTGATGACAGATTGATAGTACTCAAAACACACCCAATTGTTTGTTATTTGGACATCATTGGCGACAGTAACATGTACCAGCAACAAGTTAGTTGAAACAAAAAGGCCACAAAGCTAAGCAGAATATAAACTTGAAAATATTAGTAACAAAAGAAATATTAAATAAGTAGTCAAGTTGGTCCTTAAATTTTGAAGTATAATTGGTTTTCCCTCCAAACACCTCCTTCACCCTCACCATTTCTCTCTCTCACTTGTGTCTTGGTCCACCAATCATTTTTTGTAAAATTTGAATCCCTCTAATGAATAAATTATTCCCAAATCCAGGATCACAGATCTGGGGACTAATGCAACGCATAGATTATTACTCCCTAACAAGCAATTATTAGCACGAATGAACTCTTTACCTAATTAATAATTATATATTTCTACGTAAAAAAATAAGAAAAAAGGAAATGACAACATCTTTTTAAGATAGAATAAGTATTTGTTTTTCGAGGAAAATTTTCATGTTCTTCTAGAAAACAAAATGGAAATTAGAAAAAGGGTTGAATGGCAACGCGAACCTGTCCTGGGAGAGGTGGGACCCAGTTACCGCGGAGCCAACTGCGGTGGAGGCGGAGGGCGGAACGGTGGACGACGGCCGAGTCGGCATGATCGGGGGATGGAAAGGCGACGAGGTAGGTGGAGTTTTGGAGAACATCGACGACGGTGGCGGGGCACCAGGCGCCGTGGTGTTGGCAGAAGGTGTCGACGGCGTCGCCGAGCTTGAAGGAGGGGTTGAGGTGGAGGGGAAGGTCGGGCCTGACGTTAGCGACGTTGACATATTGGCGGAGGCGTTTGGGGTGGGAGGGGAGGAAGAGAGTTCGGTATTCGAGGAAGACGAGGTTCTTGTTCTTGGAAGGGGGGCGAATGACGGAGGCAGGGTAGTAGCAGTTGTTCTTGATCACCTCGACGGGATCGCCATGTTTGAAAACGGAATGGGACATTCTGTGTTGTGTCAAGCGAAGTGAAACGACGATGGTTTGCCTGATTGCAATTGCTATGCTCCACACCGTTTTTTTTTTTTTTTTTTTTTACGGGGTTTCTCTTAGAAATTGGTTTTATTTTTTAAAATTTGTTAAAAATCGGTTTGATTTTAAATATGTTTTCAAATTAGGTACCAATTTTCAAAAATGATTTTCATTCATTAACTACCAATAGAATTTGAGTGGAAAAGTTAGAAAAGGCCATCAAAAAGCTGCTATACTAAGCGTATTGATTTGATTATACACATATCAAAGCACATGGTAGTGAGTGTACAATTGCACATGGATGGCATATAGAAGAATTTTTATTTGCATTGCTGTTTTTTCTGAAGACTGCAAAGAATATAGTTGAGAATTTGGTAGCATGAAAATGTTCTGTAAGTGGGTGCCACTCTTTTACCCAGAAATTGATGGTGACCAGGTGGACCACAATGAAAGCCAAATTTTTTGAAAATTCAGTCACTCTTTTTGCTTTGAGTGAGTGAGAGAGAATCTTTGCAGGGTTTTTTTGTTCCTTTCTCGTCCCAAATGGGTCTCTGGGGGCACACAGAATTAATGCCGGAACAACTCCCCTTTGGCCACATGCTAATTGGCTCAGGGACATGTACGGGTTGGTATACACCTTTCAAGCTACCTTTTATCCTCATATTATGTATTATTGGTTTCCTGATTTGGTTGTGCACAATTTATGATCCAGAGTCACTTCTTGGAATAATTCGAAAGGATACCCTGCCCCCCAACCCTTTCTTTTCACTCAGCTACGTAACATGTTTATGTGTTATATTTGCTCACCTTCCATTTCACATCCCTACCATTGCGTGTTTCATACTTTTCAAGCGATTCCTTCTCCAAATATCACCTTCATCATTTTGCATGTTCCTCATCAGTCACATCAACCAACATCCACCCAACTCACCACCACAGCTATTCCCTACTGCAACTGGCACACTTCCAAAGTCTTTCCAGAAAGTTCAAGGGCTCCATGCATTCATTTTGACCCTCAAAGTGAATCAATGCCACGCATACCAAACCACACAAAACCATGACTAGGGTCTACACTGCACCACACTACACACTATGGATTATATATTCGTCCATGATAAAATAAAAAAAGCGTGTAAGCTCCTCAAATGCACCGTGCTTACCTGTTGCATCAAGAAAGCGTTGTCAAAATGGGCCTCTCAGGGAAGTTTTCTTCACATGATGCATTTGACTACAAGTGAAAAGTGTCTACTTATACACGGACTAGGAGGTGGAGGAGGGAAAAGGAAAGATCGAGATCAAGATTATATCATCAATGAAACATGTTACGTATGTAGGGTACTGAAATTTGGCTTTTGCAATCTTTAGCTGGCTAGGCTAAAGTTTCTGGGATGTCCAAGGTGAGAAGAGAATAAAAGGACAAGTAGTGGTCCTAAAATCAAATATAGAGCCAAACCTTATAAGCAAAATTTTACCACTGGGTACAGTGCACATCATTGATTGAGTTAGTTGGCTCATCTTGGTGCAGTTGGTTTGAATGGGTCATGTTAATTATAGGCATGAACAGGTCCATAATTGCATCTTGGGAGGGGCCGACTAAGGGAAATTCATAATTTTAATTTAGAGGGCCATTGTTGCATTGATTTTCTCTACAAAAAAACAAAAACAAAAAAACCCTCCTTTCACAAACCCAAAAAGAAAAAAAAGGTCCATATAGTCACTATGCACACACATATATCTCAACAGCACACGCAGCTAAAAGTACCAAAATTTTGTTTTCAAGTTTGCAATAGCTTTTTTAACTTATCGCCCTATTTGTCACACGTCTATCTACATTCATGTGTGTGCGTGACTGACATTTCCGATGCTGTCTTGTAGTTGCAGGATTATCATGCTCTCTTTGACCTTTATTAATCCAAACTTACAGGATACATTCACTGACAAGAAAGTTTGGGGTACTAAGTCTCACATACATGCATACACATATTATCGTTATTATTATTAATCAAATGAAATCCACAGTGGGATAGCAAACTATTGGTGTGGTCACGGAATGGAATAAAAGACTAGCGTTTCAGAAGGGGACTAGTGCTTGATTACATGGTGCATGGGTAGAACAGGAAAAAGGGTCAGTGCACTGGACCCTTATTCACTGGCTCAGATATTGGACCTTAGCAGAGAGCAAAAGGGGTGTGGGGACACTTGACTCTAACATAGGGTACAAAGACTTTTGGTCAATCCATAAGTAGTACCTAAGAAACCTTTCACATTAATTAATTTACTGCTATACCTCACCCCAAAAAAGCATTGTATCTGTACAAAGTCATATTTAATAATCAAGTTAGGAAGCCAAGGAATTGGGGAGGGTGTGACTTTGTAACTTGTTTGACCATGTAACTTTGGAGACTGTGTTGCTTCTAAGATTTCCAACTGCCATCATCCTTCACACCCCACTTTCCTCCAGTGTTTAGAAGTCTCACCTATAGTTTAACATATTTTCTTTCGGTCACCTAAGATTCCTTGTTCCCTTAACCCATCATTTTGCTCAAAACACACCTTTTTTTGTTCCCCCTACCCGGGTAACCCATTGCTGTAACTTGAGTTCCTAACCGAGTTCCAAGTAACCAACCATCCAAGCAGTGTGATCACAAGATATCAAAACTACAAACAAACACAGGATCTTAATTCCGATGTGAGAAATCATTAGTGGATTCTCATGTCTCTGCTGAATATTACATTCTACCCACCTTACAACTCCACCACATGGGTCGTATTCAGAACCAACCATTTTGTTCCTTCGCTATTATTATTATCATTACGATGGTTTGATCTTCGTGCTCATTTTGATGATTAGTGTTTAATAATAATGTGTAGTTTTTCATACAGGATTGTTTGATCTTGTTTCAATTTAAACGGTTCTATCAAAAATATTACCTGTTTTAAACTCAATCATGGTTGTAGAAAATGTAAAAGATGCATGTTTTGGCTTCCACAAAAGTTCTAAAAATATAATAAATAATATACAGTGTAACTATGCAAAATCAAATTAAAAATATCTTGGACATTACTGAAAACAAAATAAAATTATAAAATATATTCATAATGGCTAAATACTTCGTGTCGGTGAAGTACTTGGAAGTATTATATCAGACACAGTTGGAAATGGATACATAAAACAAATTAGAATAATTCATTGATGGTAATACGGTACATAGAACCGTGGCGTGTAAGATAGTCAGTAAAATGCTTACAATCATGTATAGAAGATATGGCTTGAGAATTGTGATTTAAACAAATATGAAATACTTAAAAGGTTTTAGAAGTAGTAATCTGCTATGGTGAGTTTCAAGTTGCACTCAGAAAATGGGAGTTTGGGGAAAGCACACGAGCAACACTGGGACACAATAACAGCCAGACACATGGCACACACAAAGGCTGAAGACCCTTTTGTCCTCCATGACCATGAGTACGGACATGAACTGGAGCACAAACACTGCACTGAATAAAATAATTTTAAGATTATTATGAGTAAAACTTTATAGATTAATATTTATATTATTATTTACTGTAATTATGCTCTGATTTACTGCCTAATGTTCTCCACTTTTCTACTTTAGCAACGTTATTGATTATAAAAATATTTTCAAGGAAAACATCATAATTGCTTAATAACGTTGATGACAGAAACAGAAATTGTTGAAAAGCAGAGAAAATAATGCAATGCACAACAAAAAATATTTCAACTTTTCCTTTGTTAAGTCGGCCACAGAAAACTACATTTCCAAAATTTAACATTTTTTTTTCTTTGTACTGGGCCCTGATGACGTCACCAGGTCCGTTTAGATCTTTCTGGGCCTTGGACCTGTCGCAATCAGGTCCATTGGGAAAGCCCACTAGCCGCCTCATGCACTCATCTTTCCTTTTTTCCTCCATATAAACCTCGCATTTCCTCCATTCCCTCCCATCTTACCATAACAAAAAGTCCCCTCTCTCTTTCACTCTCACTCTCACTTTTTCTGTGCTTCTCTTTCTCTCTCCTTTCGCTCTCTTGAAATAGTGAAGGGAGAAAAAAAGGGTCTCAAAGATGAAACCAAAAGACGGGTTTGTTGTTAAAGGTACTAGTGTTGGTATGTGTTGAACTTGCAAAATAAAATTTGCATCGCTAGAGTCATAGCTTGCACAGTTATCTTGAACCTTTTTAATATGTGTAATTCATGTTAAAGGTGTATGTTTGTACTAGCTTAGCTTATGCTATATAAGATAATTATACTGTGACTGACTGAACTATTTTACTTTATCGCAAATGGAAGATATTCTCTCGTATTCTTTTAATTGTTTTTTGCTTACTTTTTTTTTTCTCTCCTAGCTACTTTTTATCTAATCTAAAGCTGGCTTCTGCTTCTGGCCCTGCCATTCTTCTTCATTATTCTCTGCACTAATTAAGAGCATGATACATGATGCAGGTCCCTATAAGGGTTTTCTCATCATGCATGTGACTAGCAGCAAGGTGACCATGGTCAACCCTTTGAAAATTGGGAGGTGTGACCAAAAAGAAGCCATTAGTGGCTCTGAAATTGGAGCTGACAATTCGCCTGGAGTGGTGGCAGCAGCAGCAGGAGCTTCATTCTAATATGGTGCTATCCTATCTGAGCTTTTTACTACCTTCTCTCATCTTTCTTCTTCGTCTAGTTTCTACCACACTTCTTTGTTTTTCCTTTAAGTCTTCTTGACCTTGTAAGACCTTTTCTTGACCTTGTAAGACCTCACACCCTATCTGTTTTCTTTGTTTTTGCTTTTGTGGAAGACCCTATATCACAATCCACTGATATAGAGTTTGATCTCCTTCTTTCCCCGTTACCACCCAACTCATCCTCTCCTTCCTTGTCTATCCCTCCTGAGCTGTTCCAATTTTGGCCTACCTTGATGCAACAACTAATATTATGCCATGGCTTCAAAGAAATTGATTAAGGACCTTACCTTAGAACCTCCCTCAATGGGGGTTCTGCAAATGTGCTAGCTATTTGGAGACCATAGCTTCCAAGAGTACAATTGGGGTATATTTTATTTAATTTTATTTTGTTGTTTTTTTCTCTGTGAGAAATCAATGTAGTTTGTAGTTTGTGCAGAAGCTACCATGCTTGGTCGTGGTCCTTAAGGTAGGTAGGTATGTATGGTAAGTTGTAAAGAGTGGCCATAGTTAATAAATCAATGTTGCTTGTATTCAGAGGAATTCGAAAGCCATCTGTATGATATTCTGTTAAGGCAATCAATTTCGCTTGTATCACTGTGTGCAGAATATTTATGCTGTTGCAGACATCTGTTTCGTTGTTTTATATGTTGTTTGGCTGAGAAAGTGTGCAACTGCATACATATTCTTTTAGATCTAAGCAAGAGTCTCCCTCGTGACTGCTCCAATGTACAAATATCCACTGTATTATTGGAGTTATCTCTCTCTCTGATATTCAGAAGCTTTGTGCCCTTTTCGTTTTTTTTTTATATATAAAAAGCTGAAAATAATATCCCAGCTCAGCCTCATATATTAAACTACAATACAATAGAGCTGATTGCTGTTTGTAGTTTTTTTTTTACCTCCCCCAACATAATCATATAGCTTCACCCAAAAAGAGAACTGAATTAGTAAATGCTGAAAGAAGCAAACAAAAACCCAGAATGAAGTAGAGAGAGAAAGAGAGATAATTCATCTTTCCCTATCTTGTTGATTTGTTTTCTTCTTTTATGCAAGACAAGTAAGATAAATGCCATGAGTAGGCTTAATTTGGCACTACATGTGTCCTAGGCTGCTATAGCCCCATCTCTCCATCCAATGCATAGGACTCAAAGGCATTAAAGTCACACACTCTCTCCAATTGAATAATATCAAGTAGAAGAATGAATCACCCTTCTCTTGCACATTAGTACTAGTCCTTTCTTTCTCTCTTTTTCCTTTTTCTTTTAGTGTAATTTGAATTGCAAATGTTCAATTATCTAGTGCATAGCAGCAAGTGTGATAAGTTTCCTACCAAGTGAGATGGCTGCAAATTTGATGCTGAAAACGCTATTTCCCTATCCCTCTCTTTATTTGGAAGGTTGCTTCAGCCATTCCTTTCACATGGCAGGGGAAGGACAAGCAATTTGAGATAGAATACAACCTGAGCCCATAAGGAATATTACACCCCCCAATGTTTTTGTTGGGGCTGCCACACACCTACCACCCTCAAACAGTGAAGAATAATACCTCCCAAATTACCACTTTCTCCTTCAATTCATTTTTGGACATAGAAAATATCAAATATGTCGGCATCATATGTTTTCTTTAAAAAAAAAAATAATGAGGGTGGGTTGGAATTGATGTGTTTTTAGCCATATACCAATTCAGCTGCCTAACATATTGTTTCCATCAATCACCACCACGTGGTAGCCCAACCTCATAGCGTAGACAAACATTTTTCTCTGTATACATACTGTATGCAGTATATTCCAAAACGGATGCATCAAATTTTGTGTATTGACACGATTTGTGTGGTGGTTATGCAAGTCTAGGGAAAGAAAGAACCAAAAGAATTGTGACGCATCAGCTACGGAAACCTTCACTCTTTAATTATTTATCAGCCTAGAGAAAAATAAAACCCAGATTGGCAAAATGAAAGTGAAACAAAATGTTAACTCAAAATCTCATTGAATGGATGGGATTATATGGAAGTGTGAAGTGTAATTATAAGATGAAGGTAAAGAAGCCAGTAAAGGTATAAGAAAAAAAGGTTGTATACATATTTAATGTGCCCAAAAGGGATCAAGGGTAGGTGACTTGTGGCACAAAATGATGATGTCTATGAATGGACATTGAAAAGTTAAATGCCTTTCCCTAGGGTATGAGTTAGAAACTATTTACCCCCACCCCACCAATGGGACCCTTAATTTTCTTTTTTTGTGTTTGTAGTTTGTGGCAATGAGAGAGCGACAACATAAAGGCTGAGCTTGAATTAAGTTACAGTCACAATGTGCTTCACATATTCCTTTTGAGGTCATTTGGCATTAGGTACTACCACCATTGGCCCCATCTTGGTCAAGCCTTTTTCCACCTTTAGGTTACATGCGAACATGGCTCCTTCATTAGCTCTTACTTTTTCCTCCGTATCATTCCATTCAAGACCCTTTGGAAAGTAAGGGAATGACATCTCAATAATGCCTTCATGGAAAAACACTACAATTTCGTTAATAAATAATATTATACCAAATTTAACATTCATCAACAACTCTTACTTTTACAATTAGTAGGGTAACAAAACTCATTATTACATTTGTAGCATGCCAAGGAAACCATGGGATTTTACTTTTTCTTAAATAATCATATATGAGAGTTTATTTTTTATGTCTAAAATACGTGAATAGAAATATTTGTACAATAAAAATAGTGCGATCAAATTCGAAGAGATCAACGCAACCCACGTAGGGCAAGGTTTGGGCATCTTAGAAGTTTCAATAGGACTTTTGCTTTCTGCATTCCCATAATTTCTCCTTCCACCTTTATATGCCAACTCAAATACCTAAAATATATTCTCCATATTTTTCTTTTTTATCCTTATTTCTTTTTTTTTTAATTTGTGTATAATTTCTATGCCTCCATCTCTCGGTACCTCCATCTCTCGGTATCTCCATCCCTTGACTATTTGATTTTTTTGGGTTATTACCTCCATTGAAGATATTTTTTAATAATTAAAGATGAGTAATAATTAATATTATATATAAGTTACATATTTTTACGTTAAAATTAAACAAACAGATCCAAATTGTTCAATATGTTATTGTAAAAATAGTTTGAATTCTAGAACACCAATTTGGAATGTATTTGCGAACTGAGTGTTTCAAAATGTATTTCTAGAAAAGTCAATTCAAAAATATATTCCAAATTAGTTGTTCCATATTATATTTTTTGGAAACATATTCCAGAATATACAATCTAAAATACGTTTTCGAATTAGTCTTTTTGAAAACACATTCTAAACACCTAATCTAAAATATATTTTCAGATTGGCTTTTCCAGAAACACATTACAGAATGAGTGTTCTTGAATGTGTTTTCAAAAATACCAGTTCATAATGCATTCCAAAAATAAAGATGGAGATAAGAGTAAGGATAAAATGGGATTAAATTTAATTAGGGGGTGCAGGAAGAAATAGCTTTTGAATAGCATTAAAGTCTAATGGCCCAGCCCATGATGACCTCGGCCATAAAGGGTTAATATATAATGGGTTAACTAATCAAAATTCATAATACACAAATCAGAAAAACATTAGAAAATTATTGGTTTTTCCCTGTATTTGCTATTTAAATACCATGATTAATAACATGAAAAAATTAATTATTTCTCATGTCAACTGATGATACATTATTTATCATTTTTCATAAATATGATATAACAATGTCAATATCACTTAAAAATAAAAAAATTGAGAATTATTAAAGTCATAAACCTTACAAGATTTTTTGTTTATAATCAATCACTCTTGTCATAATGAAACTCTATACCAATTAAGATAAAAAGGAATGACTTAACTTGATTATTCAGTTGAGATATTTCATCATAGGATTAGCATAATGTTTGAAAATGTTATTGAAATATCTTTCAACCTCTTGCTTTGCATTTATAATTTTGTCTGACTTTTAATAACCATAAGATGAATCTAAGGGTCATGCTAGGTTTTGCCTATGTGTTTTACAAGAGTTAATATGAACCGTCCGATGTCTCGAACGGACAAAAGTCTTGCCGAAGAGACGCTGCAAGTTTCATGAATTTCTCCACACCATCTGCACAAACTTTTTTCCACAGATATCCTCTCACTAAAATCCAACGGCTGGTATTTGGTATTAAAAGGGACGCACGCTCCACCGTCCGATTGGAAGCAAAAGACTCTAGAACCCTCTTTTTGTTCTCTGTGACCTCCGATTCTAGCAGAGCCCTAGCTAAATTGCAGAACAATCCACCACATCATCCATCGTTTCTCCGCCATCGCAGAAGACACGCTTCAAATCCTTCTCGATTGCACCGTCAAACCCTTCAACCGGTGAGTTATTTCCCTCACAACGTTTCTTCTTCCTTTCTTTCGCTCCGTTTAGTCCCGTTTGATTTTTCCTCTAATATTCATTCGGGTAATCGATGCTGATTAATTCCTGCTAGGACCATCTTCTTTTTCTTTTTTTTCATCAATTCCAACATGCACGGTTTTATTTTCAGGTTGAATCATCTTTCACAAAACACGGTTTTGTTTTCGGGTATTTAATGCACGAATTTTGGTGTGCTGGTTTTGTTTGGTGAGAATGAACATCATCAAAGTTGGTCCTGGTCCTCGTGTTCGTGTGGTTCATGCCCCCAACGCATCTCAGTTGCGCCGCGATTTTAATTCCGGAGCATGTTCATCACCGGTGGCTTTTGACCCTCTCTCTGTGACTTCCCTTAGTCTTAGACCTAAACCTTCATCTCGCCTCCAATGCCATCCTGTCCTTACATCTCGCCAGCCTCTTCATCTCCGTTTCGCCGGTGGACAAGGAATGATGGAAAATAATGAGGTAGAATACACGTGTTTTTGTTTCTGTTATCACAAGTTCTTGGCTTCTTTTTATTTTTATTTTTCATTTCGATGCTCTTTCGGAAAACTTATTGACATTAATTAAAGTTATCAAATATGTGTTGCAACTTGTGAGAGTGTTTTTATTTGTTATTATGTGTCTGTTTGGATATACTTTTACATAAACATTTATAGAAGTTAAAAATTAGATGGAAAATATCAAAAAACTTCTGGATGGAAATTTGTCGAAACCTTTTGATATTAGTTTATCCAAACATTGTTTTAAACTTATGCACAGACAAATTTTAGTTTAGGCAGAAGTTTGTTTTACTAGGTAGAGAAGTGGGGACTAGTTTTCTGAGGCCATTTTTTAACTGAAACATTTTGTTGTGTATAACTCTAGTTTATTCCTATAGTGAACCTTTGCTGGTCATGTTACAAGCGATGTGAATAGAGGGGTAGAGCTTCGTGGATGCTCTTGATATATATTGTTTGTGGGTTTTTTTATTTTGGATTTGAATTGTTCTTCAGTTACTAAATACTATTAACATAATTAGGATTTCCAGAGCAAATCTCTTCAAGAAGCTATGGAACAATTTAAGGGACAGTCAATAGAGGATATATTACGACAACAAATTCAGAAGAGAGGAAGTGGAGGCCAGCCTCCTGGAAGACGAGGTGGTGGGGGGGGTGGGGGCGACAGTGGCAGCCCTGGGGGATCAGATGGGATGTCAAACGAAAATCTTCAAGTTGTTTTAGCTACAGTTTGCTTTGTATTAATGGTAAGCCCTTTCTTGTTGCAACAGTCTTAAGATTTCTTGATTGTGTGAAAAATGAAGGAAAAGCTTGAAGTGACGTTGCCAAGCTAATAATGGTGATTAATTGTGTCTGTAAATATAATTTGTGTGTGCTTTTTTCTGATTTATTTTGAATTCATGAAGTGGTTGAGCTTGAAACATGTTCATATGCAAAATTTGTGATGATATTTGATTACCTTCTTAGACTTGAAATATATTCACAGGATGCATGTTCCATGTCTCATTTTATAACACCCTGCGTCTTTTTCCTCAGTATATTTTTGTCATCAATGGCTTAGAACTTATAAAGCTAGCTAGGGACTGCATCAAGTTTGCCTCTGGTAAAGGCCAGAGTGCTCGATTGAAGCGAGCCGTGGACAAATGGGTACAACTTTACAAGAATATCATTGAGAAGAAGGAAGTTCTCAAGAATAGATTGGCGAAAACCTACACAGGCTGGTTCGACCCTGATTTCATCCGACGTGTCTCTAGGCATCATGTAAAATCAACTCATGAATAAGTTTTCTCTATATCTGTTATATACTTTTCCTTCCTTAGGACAAGAAATACTTTCAATATAATTTTTTGGTATTACATTCAATATTATTGTTCGGTTACTGAATTTCACTGTTTCATTAAATAAAATTATTGCAGTTCTTTGTATATAATGTTTTTCATCTAGAAGTTACGCTTACAAGACTCCTAAAGGTTAGTGTGAATTCAGGAGTGTAGTGAGTTTTGCAATTGGCGGCTAAGGTTCAATTGTTATTTTCCTTTTTCCTTTTCTGGGGGTTGATGCTACTAGCAAAAACCTTAAGAAACTGTTTTTTTCCCTGGAGTGATGCGTGGGTCTGCATATTTTTGGGAATAATGAGATATATCTTAATTCGAATTCCTTTCAATACGCTAATTGTAAATATTTTTTATTTAAGTTGCTGTTGTGTAGTTTGTTCATTCAGGGTACAGTAATTGTTGTCAAATGGATGGTCTGTGTGACATTGCATTAACTAAAAATATAATATTTTTTAACTTGTACATAAAAAATTTATATACAAATTAAAAATAAAAAATAAATAATTTTTATTAGATTATATTAATTTACGCATATCTTAAAAATTTAATGTTAAAGAGATGATATATTGTTTTCACTAATTTTAAATAGGTTAATTTTTCAAATTATAAAAAATATTAATTTTTTATAAAAAAATGGTTGTATAGAAATATACCCAATTTAAGTGTACAAAATTTATTTACCCAATTTCAATTACTATTTCCAATTCAAGTGTATTCTAAGTGTTTAACTCATTTATTTTCTTAAATAGAAAAATGTATAATTAAATTTTATTAAATTGATTTATTGAAATTTTAATTTAGGATGTAAATTTTTTGTGAGATTAGCTATTTTTCAATTTTAAATGTTCTTTTTTTTAATTTAATGGATAATTTCCTTATAAAAATGTTAGATAAAAAATATTGATAACAAATATAATAAATAACAATATTAAAGTTAGTGGTCCTTTAAAACTTAAGATGGACCGATTGTACAATCTTACAAATTATTTAGGTTTAATTTTATTTTAGAGAAGTGTACTGTAAAATGAGGGTTATCTCCATCTATATATTGTATTCTAACATTTACTCTAGTTAGGTGACCCTTGGAGTGTTTTTCAATGGTTGAAAAGGCTAAGGCCTGAACAAAATAAAAGAGTTTTGCTGAAAACACAAATCATGAAGAGTGCAACAATGTTTGAGAATGGGGCCTATAGATTATGGTCACATTGATATTGCATGAGATAAATTAATGTATTGGAAGTGGAAGGTAGAAGAATTGCATAACGCATGCATGAATGCCAAGATAGAATATGCATATTTGGAGATGCTTGAGGAGATTTGAGCACAAAATGGGTAACTAAGAAAAAGAAGTATAACCAACAGTTGAAGGTGTGGATTTGAATTAAAAATGGTACTTTTAAAGGGATGAGAGTGGTGAGTGACACACACTGGAGGTTGAGAGGGACGTGAGGGATTCATATTTGTGTGTGACCATAACCAGCAAAGCTTGGACCTCAAATGTCCAATTTGTGGGAACGACAACTCACTTATTTATAAAGTGTTGGAGGGCTAAAGTCCCTCTATATTCCATCCCACAAAACAAAATTGATTCCAGTCAACGTAAAATTTGTGTCATTATTTATATTTTAAAACTGTTTTTTATACTTCATTAGCTTCATATTGCATATGAATTTGTTCTTCTTTTTTTTTTCATTTACCATTGAACGGATTTGATTTGCAGGCAAAGTAGTCTACTTATCAAAAAAGTAATGTTGAAGAGAAAACAAAACAACCAATGATCAGAATAAGCATGAAACACAGTATCAAAGGCACAGGTCATTTACACGTAGTTATTATATCAACACCTTTTCTTATCTTATTACACCAAATGCACTCAATCAAATTCCTTCTTTAAAAGTCGAACAAAATATTTTGTTACAAAAACTATTACTATATATCAATTTACAGTTACATTAAACTCAAAATTTTAAAATATTAAATTATAAATTTTTCTCACCTATAAATTACTTAATTTTTTTAATATAATTTTAACTAATACTTGAATTTTTAACATAAAATATACTTAAATTAATATTATTATTACGAAGAAAGAATTACAAAATATATATATATATATATATATATATGAAAAATTTGCTTAAACTTTTAAATTTACCCATTTTTAAAAAATAACTTTACAATATTTATAAATTATAATAATTTGAGTGATAAAACATATAGTTAAGTTAAAGTTAAAATTTGAAAGTTGTATAAAGAGACAAATTCATGATTTTATATTACATCTCCTGTAGATAATGTTGTATTTTTACGTTCTTCAAACAGAAGGAGTTGGGAATAACTATTGATTATAACGTTTGGTTTAATGATAAATTAATATCAAATTAAGGTTTGATAATAATAAAAAGAGATAATGATAATAATAAAAAGAGATAAAGAGAAAAAAATGTAATATTTTAACTATATAAAATTCAAATAATTTCAATTTCAACTATATGTGTTTTTACTATTTCTCTCATGTTTTTTTCTTTTATAAAGATAATCATATTGAAGATAGAATAAAAATTAAATATAAATATATAAAATTGCAATATCCTCTTGTTAAATTAAGAGTTTGATCTCAATAAAATACAAAGTAAAATATTATCAAAGTTAAAACTGCAATGTAATTAAATAATAAATCTAAGTTTACTCCCTAAAATGGAATCCTTCCACACTCTCATCTTTACTTGATACTTTTCTTCCCTATAAATATCCAATATAGTTGTTAGACTTTCCCTACCTTCCTTCCTCCTCTTCATCATCATCTTTCACATATTCTCCATCTCCTACCTCTCTAACCTCCTTTTCTCATTCAATAACCCACAATTTACCAACTCAATAACTACTTAAATTTTTGCTTCAAAACTCCTTGTGTGTTTCCCTATAGGATTTGGATTAGATATGGTGGTGGCTTCCCCAATTTCCATAAAGAGCGAAAAGATTCTACCCATTGACCTTCCCGTGGTGGATTTATCTAGGGAAAGATCAATGGTGACAAAACTTATAGTGAGAGCTTGTGAAGAGTATGGCTTCTTTAACGTGATCAACCATGGCGTTCCTTGTGACACCATAGCCAAAATGGAAGAAGCAGCTTCTGATTTCTTTACCAAACCAGTGGCCCAAAAGAAACAACTTCCCCTTTATGGCTGCAAGAACATTGGCTTCAATGGAGACATGGGTGAGATTGAGTACCTTCTCCTCAGTGCTAATCCTCCCTCCATTACTCACTTCAACAATATCTCCAACATGCCTTCAAACTTCAGGTACGTGCACTCATTCCACGTACTTTCTGTCATTGTCCAACACTTTTACATTTAACTTACCATTATATAAATCTATTTCTAAACAATAAGTCTATGTATAGAGTTATATGCTGCATGTTTGGTTTGTATATTAATTATCACCCCTCTCTCTCTCACTCTCTCTCCTTTAACTTCAACTTGAGGAGATGAAATATTGTGATCATAAAGAGGGAGTAAATGTATTTTTTGTTTTATTTTATTTTGGGTTCATGGCAAGAACTGGTGTATATGAAAAAAGTAACAGTTGGTGGGTGACAAGGTCGTGACTGATATGAATAAGTAAGAAACAAATAACCATGGATACACAAATTGACAACATGAAAAATGTAATTAAGAAAAGAATATGTAATATTAAAGAAGAAGAAAAACTTGCACGGGTAGCACCAGAGTGACCAGATAAATTCTTATTCGTAGGATATTTGTTGGTGATATGGACCAGGCTAAGTTATTGCCAGCTTAAGTAGTGACCACCTTAATAATTTATAGTGTCTGGTTTACAGAATTAATTGTTACAAATCTCATAAGACACTCGAAAAATATTTATTTAATATTATGAAAAATGTATTTTATTTTATACACTAGTGCAAAAAGGGGCTTTTACGTCAGGTATTTAGGGCTTTTTACGTCGTATTTAAGTCCGACGTAAAAGCGGGAGACGTAAATTTACGTCGGACCCTTTTACCCGACGTAGATTTACGTCAGTTATGAAGATACGACGTAATTTTGCGTGGCATATACAATAAACAGACGTAAAAACCTTTTCAATTTAAAAAAAAAACGGAAAATTTACGTCGCATACGAGTATATACGACGTAAATTTACGTCGCATACGATATATACGACGTAAATTTACGTCGCATATACCAATATGCGACGTAAATTTACGTCGCATATTGGTATATGCGACGTAAATTTACGTCGTATATACCAATATGCGACGTAAATTTATCTGTTTTTTTTAAAATTGGGTTTATTTACTCGTTTTACAACTAAAACCTGCAAAAATTACAACCAGACAGATCCGAGCAGTTTTCTTTTGCTAGTAAATTAAAAATATAATATTATATAATTCAAACTACATAATAAAACAAAATAATACAAACATACAAACTAAAAAATCTATTACAAACTAAGCTACCTATACAAACTAAGCTACCTATACAAACTAAGCTACCTATACAAACTAAGCTACCTATACAAACTAAACTAAACTACATAATACACACAATATAATATGAACAAGAACATAAAAAATAATGTACTAGAATTGTAGAACAAAAAATTTTGCCCATTGTTCTCTAATTTCCGTAATCTCGGATTCTGGTAATGGAGATGGATCTTGAAATACCCGAAACATGAATTTGACTCTTGTAAGCATGCAACATGAATAAAGTTAAATAAACTTAACTAATGTTAAAAGTAATTACCTCCGTCCAAGAATCAATTAAACCCGCACAAACTATGGCTCTCATCCAATACATTACATAGTAACCACATTCAAACGAGTCAGCTTGCTTATTACACCGAAATGATGAAAAAAACATAATATTATTTTCAAAATTGAAATATAAACAATAATTATGGTATTCACTTATATAAATAAGTTTCTAACCTTAGGATAAATGAACTGCAATGTCTTTGTTCTAGGTTTTCCACTTAGAACATTAGTTCCGATACACGATTCTAAGTGAAAAAAGTCATATATTATTCAATATGTATTCACAATTTAAAAACATAATTAATGAATAAAAGATAAAGTTACCCTTGTAATAAGCTTTTCATTTCTTGACTCGGTTTCCGATGTAATGAACAAAACCATACCACAGATGTAATCCCGGGGTATGATTACAATTAATCGCCAATGGGACCTACATTGTATGACATAAAAATTAGTTACAAAAATATAAATTAAAATACAAATTAAAATACTAACCCTTCAATGTATGGAGCCAAATATATATGTCTTCTTGAGTCACTCATCCATGTTTGCATATATTGTTGGATTCCAACCTTTGTATTTCCAGATTTTTGGATGGATTGAGGCTCAATAAATCCGTATACTTCGGATTTTTCTTGTTCCACACTCAAATTGTCAAGGTACCTAAAACAATTAATTATAAGTTGAATATAATTATTATAATCTTAGAAACATAAATGAAAATGACTTACATTGCCCACAATTGTATGATGGAAATGTTTAACATGCAATTTCCCCCAGCAATTTCTAAAGCATCGGGCAAGGAAATGTACAATGGAACACTGGAATTGTCAATTCCAAACACTCTAACATCCCATTGTATCTGACACGGTCTCTTCCTCAACCGTGGTAATACGGCTAACAACATAGAGATGGGATCATCATCACATTCTGTCAGATCCTCATCAATAATAGGTTGCTTTTTATGCTTAGCACGACGCAAGTCCTCCTAAACAAATGATAACAATTAATTAAACATTTATATAATTATAATACTAGAAAAGAAGTAAATAGACAATATGTATATATATATATATATATATACCTTGGTCTGTGCTGATAGTGGCATAACCAAACGTCTTGGCCAAGCCAAGAATGTCCCGCTTGCCTGCCCCACTAATTGAATCTCTTCATTAGGAAAAGGCACTGGAGCATTAGCATCATTAACTTCATCAACTACTACTCGTGTCCAGTCTGGCTGTAGAGGGACACCATGGATGGTTAAGCCACCCTCAAAAACTCGACCAACAGCCACTAGACGCGGGGGGTCATCTTCAACATATAACTCACACTGGTGTGATGCATCAGTCTGAGTATATTCTCCTGAAGGATCAACAGTAGTAGCAGCACAACTCCCTTTAGTGCTGACTCGAACAATATCATGTTCAATTGTTTGAGGTGTTCCTTGAGTCTGTTGCTGAGAGCGGGCGAGAGATTCAATTTTCTCATCAAACTCTTGCTGCAAGGATTGCCTTATTTGATTTAACTTTTCTTCAAACTGCATCTCCATTTTATGCAAGGCCTCCTGGCTGCAAGAGTCAGCAGTGGTCCTTCGTGATGTTGGACCAAAGTAATCACGAAGGCCCCAGGTTCCACCAGCACCACGCACACGTCCCGAGTAATCTGGTTTTCCTATGGCTCGCTGCCAATATATCTTGTCGACCATGAGGAATAAATGATCCTTGGCTGGTCCGCTCAACTAAATCATCCTACAACACATTAACAATAATTAAGTCATACACTAACTTTCAAATTAAAATCAATTCAAATTGACATTATAACTTACGATTTTCTCGAGCAATGATTCGTGCGGACTCGGAAGTCATTTGTCCATCGGATTTTGTCCGGCTGCCTTCCACATCCGATAGCGAGGGGTGGAGATGCAAGGTCGGTAGAATCAACTCCTGCCGACTCTTCTCTGGATTTCATGAGACGTTGCTCCAATAATGCATACCCTCCTCGTGACAATACATGAGGTGCATCATTCAACCTCCGACGTTGTTGGGCGGCTTGTCTTTTATCCTGCCAAGAGGGGTCCATTCGAGCTGGCACAAAACCGTAACCAATCCTCCTCACTAATTTGATACTTTAGACAGGGAGATTCATCTCGAAACTTTCCAAATACATACTCCGTGTCAAGAAAGTCTTAAAGTCCCTCCATCTAATGGCAATGGAGGATAAAATCTTCTTCCTCATCACCTCAGTGTTAGGAACATCAAAATTTTGTCTGTGAAATGACCAATAAATGTTAAATTCAATTAATAATGATATATAAAGTATTCAACAAATATAGGAATACCTGAACATCCCGCCACATGAGGTTCTTCTCGGTTTCCTCAACATCATCCCAAGATGGAGTAGTAATCGGAACATGGTGTCGAGCTAGTAGTCCCAAATAGCTCTTAAACTTAGCAGCATTTGGGCCGGATGCCTTACCGAACGTGGATCAACTTCAACTTGAGTTTTCTCTCTAGCTACCCTCCTTGTCGTCAACCCCTTTAACCGAGTGACAGATCTACCTTTATCACCACTTCCGCTCCTGCCATCGCCACTACCACTTCCAGTACCACTGTGGAATCCGACATATCCTGAAAAACAAAACAATATGAAGTCAACATACTTTATAAGTTTGAATAAAAAGAACTAGAAAATGTGAAGATAAACACCTATTATGTTGGTATGTTTTCCCATATCCCTTCATCATGATCACTTCGAATTGCATGTATGTCATCAACTTCATTGTCAACTATGTCATCAAATGGTCTACTTGAAAATGAAGGTGTTTCATGTATATCTAGAGACTCATCTTCATGAATTCCGTGCATGCTTCTTCCTTCTAGGACAATTGACCATCTCTCATTACATGGATCCTTGACATAAAATATTTGTCTCGCTTGATATGCCAAAATAAAAGGTTCATCCTTATACCCAACTTTACTCAAATCAACCAAAGTAAATCCTAGGTCATCTGTTCGCACACCCGTATTCCCTTCAACCCATTTACACTTGAAGACAGGCACCCTAAAAGTAACATAATCAATTTCCCATATCTCTTGTATGACCCCAAAATAACTCATAGAAGCTGTGATAGGATTTTTGTCTTTAGAACTAGAAAAATGCATAGATTCAGCTTGAATTGTGACCCCACTATTTTGTACTCTACCTTTATCATCTTCTATTTTTGAGTAGAAACAATAGTTATTAATGTCATACCCACCAAATGTAATGACATCACTATTAGGCCCACGAGCAAGTCTCAAAAGTGTTTCGAAGCATTAATCTCAACATATACCCTTTTTTTAAACCAAGAAAGGAAACTTTTGTTATGTTCATTCAATACCCATTTTTCATTCATTCGTGGATGTGTTGCCTTTATTTCAGTTATGTGTTGTGATATGTAAGGGATTACTTCATCGGTGTTGTTCAATATGTATAAATGTGCTTGGTCAACTTCTTTCCGACTAACATTTTTAATCTTCAAATT